TGTGTGTGCGTGTGTCTGTGCATGTGTGGTGTATGTGTGTGTGTGCGCGTGTGTCTGTGCTGGTGTGTCTGTGTGCGCGTGCGCGCGTGTGTCTGTGTGTATGTGTGGTGTGTGTGCGTGTGTGTGCACACGTGTGCGTGTGCATGAGTGTATGTGTGTGTGGTGTGGATGTGTGTGTGTGTTTGTGTTTGTGTGTGTATGAGTAGTGTGCATGCGTGTGTGTGGTGTGTGTGTGCACGCATGAGCGTGTGTACACACTTTTGCGTGCATGTGTGAGTGGTGTGCATGTCTGTGTGTGTGTATGTGTGTGTGTGTGTGTGTGTGTGTGTGTGTGTGTGTGTGTGTGTGAGAGAGAGAGACCGTGTCTTTGATGCTATATGTGTTAACATGTACCTTCGGGGAAACCCAGCTCCATTCTGCCTACAGTTCCTCAGGTCACAAGGTCAAATGTGAAGACACAAGGCTTACAGATAAGATGCAGCTGTTCTCAATTTCCTTCATAAACATCCGCAAGTTCAATTTGATATTCCTTTGGGGATTGCTGCAATGTCTGAACCAGCCTCTGGCCAGTGAGGAGCGTAGGTTGGGGGGAGATGTGGGAGGAAACGTGTGTGCAGTAACAAAAAAGGGCTCCTGCATTTATATAGTGCTTTTCACAACCAGCAAGTGCCTCCAAGGGCTGCGTAGCAGCTTTTTGAAGTGCAGTCACTGTTGCAATGTAGGAAACCCGGCAGCCAACCAGTGCACAGTAAGATCCCACAAACCGATACCTGTAATGACCCATAATCTGCTGTTTTCCATGATGTGGATCGAGGGATGACTATTAACCAGGGCACTGGGCAGACCTTGCCAACCTATCCCACCTACCCCTCCACCCAACCGCGACCACCCACCCCCACCGCACTTACTTGCCTTTGATTTAGTGACATGGGATTGAGATAAGTTATAGCTCCTCACCTTTAATGGATCATTCAAAAGACAGCACTGCCAACACTGTCAGTGCTGCATGAACACCAGCATGGATCTGTCGGGCCGAATGGCCTACTTTTGTGCTGTATTTTCTAATACTTTCCGCCATGATTGCTAATTATTAGATTGGAGTGGGTTAGCTCCACAAGCCGAATTCCAAATATACTTTGTCGGGTAATGTGCTATGTTCTACAGTGCTCAGTCTACAGAGGCTGAAGGTATCAGTCTCACAGCCCAATCTGTGTGTAGACTGCAGCAATTACTTTGGGAAATAACAGCCCAACCCTCTCCCTTCTGAAACCCATCGACTGCCACAGCTACTGGAATTTTGTATGGGTACTGGCATAGCAACGAGTCTGGGCTGGGCAAGGATTAATGTCTTATCCAAACGATAGCACCTCCAACAGCGTGACACTCCCCCAGCACCTCACTGGGTAGGGTGGGGGCTTCGTATTTAAGTCTCTGGAATGAGATTCAAACCTACTGTCCTCTAACTCAGGGGACACCCACAGAACACAGAGCCCCACAGATACTGACTGGGTTTGCACCTATCAGGTAGGAAAATGAGTTTTAATCAAGGAAGATGGTATTCTTTGCATAGGTCATAGAGTCATTGGGTCTACAGCACAGAAATCAGATCTGCGCTGATTATTCTAATCCTGTTTTCTAGCACTTGGCCCATAGCCTTGGTATCGCAAGGGCACATCTAAGTACTTCTTCAATGTTATGAGGGTTTCTGTCTCTAGCACCCTTACAGGCAGTGACTCCCAGATTCCCACACATTCTGCATAGAAAATACTTCTTCATATCTCCTCTAAATCTTCTTCCCTTACCTTAAATCTATGCCCCTTGTTCACTGATCCCTCCTTCAATGGGAAAAGCTCCTTCCTGTTAACCCTATCCATGATGAACAGATGCCAGTGTTGGAGCCAAGTGGATAAAGTCAGAAGTCACACGACATCAGGTTACAGTCCAACAGGTTTATTTGAAATCACAAGCTTCCTGCTCCTCTGATGCTGCTTCACCTGCTGTGTTCATCCAGTTCACCTTATTATCTCTTCTTTCAGAGCACTGCTCCTTTGTCGCGCGAAGTGAAAGGGAAGCACACAAACACAGAATTTCCAGGCAGAGAGATCGAAATGATGTGAGTGGAGTGTTAAATAATAACTCACTGCAGGTGATCCGAAGAGTCAGATGGTGTGAGGAAATTGTCAACAGCTGAATAACCAGCGATGGGATGACCTATAAACCGATTAAGTGAGACAGAGAGATAATTGCAAAAAATTAAAAATAAGGTGGTGCTGGGGACAAACCAGATGGGTGGAATAATACGATAGGTATAAGAGTCACATGACGAAGGTCTAACCAAAGTAATATATAACCTAAAACTCATTTAATCAGATTATAGGTAATCCCTTCACTTGTTACTCAACTGTTGACACTTTCCTCACACTGTCTGACTTTTTGGATCTCCTGCAGAGATTTATTATACGATACTCCACTCACACCATTTGTACGATCTTTTGATCTCTCTGCCCTTGATCTCTCTCTGCACATAAATTCTGTGTCTGTGTGCTCCCTCTCACTTCACCTGGTGAAGGCGTTGTGCTCCAAAAGCTTGAGATTTCAAATAAACCTGTTGGACTATAACCTGGTGTCGGTGTGACTTCTGACTTTACCTTATCAATGCCCCTCATAATTTTATAAATCTCAATCATGTCCCCTCTCAATCTCCTCTGCTCTAAGAAAAACAACCCCAATCTGTCCAATCTCGCTTCATAAATGAAACTGGTCAGCCCAGACAAAATCCTGATAAATCTCCCTCTGCACCCTCTCCAGGGCTGTCACATCCCTCCTATAATGTGAATTCCAGAACTGCACACAATACTTCAGCTGTGGCCTAACCAATGGTTTGTACAGTTCCAACACAACCTCCCTGCTCTTAAATTCTACGCCTTAGCTAATAAAGGCAAATATCCCATATGCTTCTTAACCACTTTATCTACCTGCCCTGATACCCTAAGGAATGGTGGACATGCTAACCAAGGTCCCTCTGATCCTCAGTACTTCCCAGGGTCCTACCATTCATCATGTATTCCCTTGCCTTGTTTGTCCTGTCCATGTGCAACATGTCACGTTGAACTGGTATTCTTGCAAATGTGAATTATTTATCAAGGGGGGGGTGGGGTAGTGCTGATAAACTGTACTTGTTCTCACAAACATGATCATGTTTAATAATGTAAAATTTCATGAGACTGTGTTCTCCCAATCCCCCTACCCCCAGTGATTTATCTCTGCAGCGTCAGCAGTGAGAAATGTTCCACGGGTACAACATGCACCGGTAAGTTTAAATATACTTAATTCTAAAGAAATTGTATGCGTACTTGGTTACAACTTAAATTTATTTTTAGATTTTAAAGGCATCAATAGTTGTGGGGAGAAATTGGGAAAAGGGCACTGAGACATAGGATTAACCACGAACATACAGCACATAGGCTCAAAGGGCCGAATGACCTACTTCCACTCCTAGTTTCTAAACTTTAATACTTAGAGAAAAAGCCGCCACAATGCACGCAGAAGTTACAACAAGCTTTTAAAAAACAGTAAGGGTTTTGATTGCCTTCACAAGGACATGTTAAGATGTTGGCACAGTGACTCAGGGGTTAGCACTGCTGCCTCACAGTACGAGGGACTTGGGTTCAATTCCACCCTCGGGCGATTGTCTGTGTAGAGTTTGCACATTCTCCCTGTTTCTGTGTGAGTTTCTTCCGGGTGCTCCGGTTTCCTCCCACAGTCCAAAGATTTGCAGGTTAGGGTGGATTGGCCACGTTAAATTGCTCATAGTGTCCAGAGATGTGCAGGCTATGTGGTTAGCCATGGGCAATGCAGGGCTTCAGGGAAGGGGTGGGTGTGGGTGGGATGTGGGTCGGTGTTGGATGAATGTCCTGCTTTCACACTGTAGGAATTCGGGAATGGTGCTTTCCCTTCATCCACCTCCACATCTATCCATCTCCTTCTTCGGACAACCACTCCTCTGCTTAGTCTTCCATTCATTTATCAAGTGGCTCATCTATTTGGCTCTCCATCCCTCTACCTGCCCATCTATCCTCTTGTGGATAGGCCATTTGGCCCAGCCACTCGGTGTCTGTGCTGACCTTTTAATGCTCTCGTTATCATGAGCTCATGCTGTTTCCACATTTCTCACATTGAAATTTCTTCTCCTTTGGTTTTCTGTCCAAGGTTAGGTCTAGCCTACAGTGGCCATGAGCGTGGGGCTGAAATAACTACACAAAGGCCAGTATCCCATCACCAAATCACCCTTTATTTACAAGTGTACATGACACTGACCCAGCTAGCACAGAGTTAGTTCCTAGAGTGAACAGAATCCTTAACAGTCCTGTCTATATCTGTCAGCCAAGGCTCCCTGATTGGACCAGGTTAACAGCCCTGTATTTAGGAACACTGCCATACACACTTTGATAGATACATTCCTTGACCAGTAAGTCCAGGAATGGGGCTCAAACCTGGAGCTTCTGGCTGAGAGATAGGGTCACTACCTATCTGTGCCACAGGGCACCCAGTTTATTTAAAGAATCTCTTCTTAAATCGTGCTGCCTCTTTCAATCACTCAAGAGCTTCACTTTGCCTCTGCCAATTTTTGCTTCGGTCTGAGTGGGTATGACAAATAGCTGGCGTGCAAAACGGGTATTTACCAACTTGGAGCAAACCCTGTGCCTATCAGCGGGTAGGGGTGCCTCTGCAATTGCTGTACCGACTTTGTCCCTCTTCCCCGACCACCCTACCAACTTGTCGCACCCTCCCACTCCTCCGTGTCTGAAATCTACAGACTTATCTCAGATCGCCCATCAACCTTCACTCCTCCCACGGGGCCGCTTGCAATCCCACTAACTGCTTTTTGGCGCTGCTGGGACTGCCAGAGCTGCCAGCCAATCGGCTAGACCGGGCAGATCTCCAGGGCGGAGCTTCCTGTCCCTGAGGGGCAGAATTTCCACTCTGATCCTAATAAGTTCTAGTAGTTTTATCACTGCAGTGGCGGTGGGGGTGGGTGGGATTGGATTCTTGAGGTGTGCTGGTAGTGTCCTTACCTCTGGGGTTGAAGCCCCAGCTCCTCCAGAGGTGTGTAATGACAGGTTGATTTAAAAATATCCACTATCTCAGCCTGTCCACATTAATAAGGCACTGAGCAACTTTTAACCCGCAATTGGGAGTACAATTTGTCCCCCTCGTAAAATCCACACCATCGACTCTGATAGCGCAATCCACAGTATCACACACTTGGTGTAAAAGAGTAGTGTTTGCTCCTAAATTTAACCCAGAATTTATTGCTGCCTCATTCTACATCCATCAATCTAAAGGAACCATCTGCTTCAGTTTATTCTTTCATGTCCCTTCCCCCACCCACCAGCACAGCTGAAGCCAGCGTTCAAACCTGTCACTTTCTTGGTCTTTTTAATTATTCATCTCAAGAGTTGACTGCCTGTCCCAAGCGGTCCTTGGGGAGCACCTTCTTCTTGAACGTTTGAAGTCCATGTGGAGCGAGAGCTGCCACATTGTCTGGAAGAGAATGAGCTGCTGGAGTTCTACGTCAAACTCCACTTTCCCAGCCAATCTCCGAAATTTCCTGACGGCCTCAGCTCACAAAAACAGCTTATTGATCCCAGTCTTGGATATACTCAAATAGGACAGTTCTGCTGGTTGGAAAGTGTAGGGCCAGGGGACTTGGTTTTAAATGTTCCTTATTTTAAGATAAGGAGGAATTCTTCACCCAGAATCTTTGGAATTCTCTACTCAAGAGGGCTTTGGAAGCTCAGTCATTCAGCGGAAATTGATAGGTCATCTGGAGATGACCTTAATGACATTAAAGGATTGGCGATTTTGCTGTAAGGTGTTGTTTACGTAGAAGATAAGCCACAATTTAGTTGAATGGCTCAATGGGTTGAATGGACTACTCCTGTTCCTATGTTTCTATGATCCTATATTCAACAACTGAGCGCTCATGGCTTTCTAGGGTAGAGATTTCCAAATATTCACAGTCAGCTGAGATACTCCTCCACCTCTCAGTCCAAAAGGATTGGAATCTTTATCCTGAGATACTGGTGAAATATAATCACGTCAGGAATGCCTGTGACTTAGAGAGGAACTCAGAGCTGGCAGAAGTCCTCCACATTTGTCCATGCAGATGGTGGAGAATGAGGGGAGTAGGTTGCTGAAGAAGCCTTATACTCTAGATAAGGCACATTGTGTATCTTCGAGCCCACCAGATTGACACATTTGCCCCCACCGCACTGGAAGTGCTCGGACTGCCGACAGAGATGGCCACAGCTCATGGTGAGTTATGTTCCTGTCTGTTGCAGATGAGGATAAATGTCAGACAAAACCATGTGGGTCCAATGCTATCTGTCACAACACTCCCAGCAGCTTCTACTGCACCTGTGAGAATGGATACTACTCAACTGGAGACAGAAAGTTCCGGAATGCAGCAGCGGCCTCTTGTTTAGGTAAATACAAAACCACACACTTGCTAACTTTGAGCAATTCGAATGTGACCTATTGTCCTCCCCTATCTTATCCTCCTCCTTCACCTTTGTCATGGTCAGAGAACTGTCTAGTCATAGAGTCATACACAGAAACAGACCCTTCGGTCCAACCAGTCCATGCCGAACATAATACCAAACTAAACTAGTCCCACTTGCTTGTGTTTGGCCCATATCCCTCCAAACCTTTCCTATTCATGTACTTATTTAAATATCCTTTAAACATTGTAAGTGCACCCACAACCACCGCTTCCTCTGGAAGTTCATTGCATACACAAACCACTCTCTGTGTAAAACAAATTGCCTCTCATGTCCTTGTTAAATCTTTCTCTTCTCACCTTAAAAATGTGTCCCCTGGTTTAGAAATCCCTCACCCTAGGGAAAAGAGACCTACATTTCACGTTATCTATATCCCTCATGACTTTATAAACTTCTTTAAGGTCACCTCTCAACATTCCAGTGAAAAAATTCCCAGCCTATCTAGGCTCTCCTTTTAACACAAAGCCCCCATTCCTGGCAACATCCTGGTAAATCTCTTCTGAGCCCTCTCCAGTTTAATAATATCCTTCCTATAGCAGGGCGACCAGAACTGGACACAGTACTCCAGAAGAGGCCTCACCAAATTCCTGTACAACCTCAACATAACGTCCCAAATCCTATACTCAATGGTCTGAGCAATGATGGCAAGTGTGCTAAACATGATGAATACCTTCTGAACCACCCTATCCATATATAATGCAAACTTCAAAGAATTATATACCTGGACCTTTAGGTTTCTCTGTTCTATAAAATTGTCCAAAGCCCTACTTTTAATTATATAAATCTTGCATTTGTTTGTTTTACCAAAATGCAATACCTCGCATTTATCCAAATTAAACTCCATCTGCCACTCTTCATCTTATTGACCCAATTGTCCATTGTGTTGGGGCCATAATGTCACAGCATTCTTTCACCATCCAGTGGCTCTCCAAAGCACTTGAGGAATGTAAAACCCTGGTTGACTTCCTCTCACTGACCTCACGGTGCATACCCCACTGACCGGTATGACTAGCTAACTCAGCAAAGTTCATCTTTGTGGGGTGGGGAGAGAGGTTTGCGGGGACGAATGTTAACCCTGGGAGACCCAGGAATTGGCGCAATGGTGGTCTGGCAATGGGGACTGTGGAAGTATCATTGATTGTCACATCAACCAACTTTGTTCGCTAAACGCCTTTAGGAAGGAAAATCTGCCATCCTTATCTGGTCTTGTTACATGGGACTCCAGACTTACTGCCCAACTGTGCTCTGAAATGGCTGAGCAAGCCACTCAGTTCAAAGGAAACCAGGAACAGGCAATAAAAGATGCTTTTGCCAACAACACCTGGCATCCCATGAAAGAAAGAGCTGTGGTTCCCACTAAATATAACATGAAGTCTAACCAGAGCTTTAGATTATTGCAGTTTTTACCCACATCTATTCCTAACCACACACTTTTCCAAACTTTAAGGGCTGGCAAGTTGAAATCATAGAGTTAAAAGGACAGCATCATAGAATTTAGCTGCCTGTGTTGAATTCAGAGTGTCATTGCTGGCATGTTATAGCTGGAAGTAAAGTCTATCATCCCTTCTCCCATTGCCAAGCACTTTCAGCCAACTCTATTGATGCAGAAGAATTTTATGTGTGCCGATATTGTCTTCCAGATTATGATGAGTGTCGCAACATTCAAACAGTATGCGGTAGCAATGCAATGTGTCACAATACAGCTGGTGGATTCTACTGCCTGTGCGACAAAGGATTTTCCCGAGTATCTGGCCAGACCAAGTTTACAGGTTATGGAGCTGGGTGTGAAGGTGAGGAGGCTGGTCAGATCCTGGTTCAGTTTCCTCTTTTCTTGTGCGGGTTCTGGGGGACGGGACAGCCTAAGAATATTTCAGCTGACCCCACTCAAGTGTTCGGTTTTATTAAGTCACTGAAGTGCCCTCAGGCTGATCCAGATGCCAATTCTAATCAAACATTGAGGTGAATCAGGCCAGCGGTGAAAGATGGCACCTGAGAATCAGCAACGTCAACATTTGTTGGGTCTGGTGAGGTGGTTCTTGTTCTGAGCCATACATAAATGGGCCTCTCTTTAAGCTAAATATTTTCATTTTTCTCTTATTCTTAAACTATCAAAATGGCGCCATGTTGTGGTGACGAATGAAAGTTTTTCACTGTAGTTTATTGTATTTCTCACCGTAAAATACACATTGACAATAAAAATCCCTCATTCATTCATGCAATAAAATCGTTCATTCTCAAGATACTTGCCTAGCAAAGATGGACCAATCCCCGCTCAGAAATGTGCCATGACCTCCACCCTCTGCTCCACTTTAACCCTGTTTTGGGAGGGCCAAGAATTCCAATCTGCCCTTTGAAGAAATATTTCCTAATCTTGCCCGAGCAGGTCGTTCAAAGGTTAAAAGTCTGACACTTTATTTGCACTTGTCTAACCACGGAAAATACTTTATCTAATCTATAATGATTGCAATCACCTCAATTAGTGCACCAGTTTAGCTTCTATATTAAGTGTAAAATGTCCTTATAATTCAGGGGGTGACATGTTGGCTCAGTGGTTAGCACTGCTGCCTTGCAGGGCCTGGGACTTCAGTCTGATTCCACCCTCAGGCTACTGTCAGTGTGGAGTTTTCATGTTCTCTTTGTGTCTGCGTGTCTTTCCTCTGGGTGCTCTGGTTTCCTCCCACAGTCCAACGATGTGCAGGTTAGGATGGATTGGCCACGCTAAATTGCCCCATAGTGCGCAGGGATATGCAGGCTAAGTTGGTTAGCCATGGGAAATGCAGGGTTACAGGGATGGGATGGGCCTTGGTGGGATGCTCTTCAGCCAGTATGGACTCAAAGGGCTGAATGGTCTGTTCCCACACTGTAGGGATTCTATGAATTCAATCATTTCAGTCCAGGTATTACTCAGGTGGTGGATATCTCATGGAACAGTGGATAGTGCCCTACCCCTGATCTAAAGATTCTCAGTTTAAACTCTTGGCCAAGGACATTCACTCAAAACACAGCCAAACAGGTTAATCACCATCTACAAATCTTTCCAATAGATATTGGGCAGGCAGTAAAAGTGGGACAGTCTCTTGGTCAGCTATGGCAATGCAGAGTGATGGGCCAAGTGGCCTGTTTCTATACTGCTCATTCTATGTCCGTGAAGAGACAATCAGAAGGGATGATTGTGGGAGAAATAATTCGACATTCCCTCTTCTACATCACTGACAACTGTTCAAATGATCCTCAGAGAGGTTTTAAATCATATCATTTTTCTTGTGTGTTAACATTGTATTCAAGCAGAGCAGAGATCTTGCTCCGGTTATGTGTTTGTGCTGTAAGAGCCTAATCAATTCCATGAAACAAGTAAACCCAACGCCAATCAGAGGGTCTGACTGCCTCTGCCCCCTCTGGGCCAGGATAGGGTTAAGCAGCCTACAGATGTGTCAGGGCCCAGCTAAGAGTAATGAATGGTCTCTCTTCTCCATTGCAGATATCAATGAGTGCCTCCAAGATCCCTGCCAACCTGACATTGTCTGCCAGAATTTAAACGGAAGCTACATTTGTATTCCTCAGCCAGGATTTATGTCACAAAACGTTAACAAAGTCACTCAGAGTAAGAAAATCCAAAATTAGTCGACAGAAAATGCAATTGCGAATAGTGTTAATGTTTAGAGTGGAAGAACTTTTGTGAGACTAAAAATGGTCACCCACTTTAATAGATCAGCCCAGCTTCTCACCTGTCCACAACTCCTTCAGTCTCCAGACAAAAATCTTCTTGATTGTGTCTTCTTCCTCTTCATCCTCTTCAATGCCACAATCCCTGATTATTGATACTGCAACTCCCTAAAGTAAAACACAATTCTGATTTCAGTTCCGAGCACAGAAGTTCTTCCAAGCGGGGATCATTTCCAAGGTATCAGGGACGTGTTCGGGGGATGTTGGTTCAAATCCCATCTGCGGCAGATGGTGAAATTCTAGTTCAATAAAAATCTGGAATATTAAGGCCGATCACGTCAATTGTCATAAAGATTCATTTTTTATTTTAATTCATTCATGGGATGAGGGCATCATTGACCAGGCCAACATTTATTGCCCATCCCTAATTGCCCAGAGGGCAGTTAAGACTCAACCACATTGCTGTGGGTCTGGAGTCACATGTAGGCCAGGCCAGGTAAGGATGGCAGTTTCCTTCCCTAAAGGACCAGATGGGTTTTTGTGACAATCGACAATTAATTCATGGTCATCATTAGACTCTTAATTGCAGATTTGTTTTTTAATTGGGCTCAAATTCCACTATCTGCTGTGGCGAAGATTTGAACCCAGGTCCGTGGAACATTACCTGGGTCTCCAAATAAACAGTCCAGCAATAATACCACTTGTCTCCCCTGGTTTGCTAAGTCCTCTAGGGAAGGAAATTCCTACCCAGTCTGGCCTATGTGTGGTCCCAGACCCACAGCAACGTGATTGAGTTTTAACTGGCCTCTGGCAATTGGGGATGGGCAATAAATGCTGGCCTAGCCAATGGTGCCTACATTCTATAAACAAATGGGGAAAATAATGCCCTGCTAAAAGCCCTCCATATGTTAGGCAGGGAGCGTTTGCTCATTTTAAGGCAGACATGTGCCACCTGCCATATTGATGAGGTCAGACATTGGCACTCACATGTGAAACAGGCCTTTGGTCCTTTGCGCCCATAAGTAAGAGGCTGATTACCCATTCTGAGGCCTCCACTACCAGTCCGGTATGCCCTGAGGCAATTTTAGCACACAGGAAAGCCAGGCCGACATCGGGTCTAACAGGCCTCCCTTAAAGCACATCTGCAGGTTGGAGCCAACATAGGCTGGACAGAGTAGACAGGGAGGAGCTAAAAGAAAAACAGAATGAGAGGGCATCAATTTAAAATGATGCACAAACGCAGCAAGAGCGATGTGAGAAATGAAACATTTGCACTCAGTCGGTAGTTTAGGTTCTGGAATGTACTACCTGGAAATGTGATGGAGGCAAATTCAACTAAGGCATTCAGGAGGGGCATTGGCGGGTTATTTGGATGGAATTGGTGTACAGGGATATGGGGTAAAGACAGGAGATTGGCTCTAGGCAATGGAATTAGCACAGGCACAATGGGTGGAATGGTCTCTTTCTGTGCCGTGACAATTATGGCTGTCACAGTGGCTCAGTGGTCAGCACTGCTGCCTCACAGTGCCACAGACCCAGGTTTGATCCCACCCTCGGGTGACTGTCTGTGTGGAGTTTGCACATTCTCCCCGTGTCTGCGTGGGTTTCCTCCGGGTGCCGAGGTTTCCTCCCAGAGTCCAAAGGTGTGCGGGGTAGGGTGGATTGGCCATGGTAGATGTGGCGTTAGTGGATACCATGGGGTGGCTGGATCGGATGCTCTACGAAGGGTCAGTGTGGACTCGAAGCCAAATGGCCTCCTCCCGCACTTTGAGGATTCTGTGAAGCTTTAAAAATTTATCTGACTTGAGGGCCAGCAGGAGTAGGGCATCTCATCCTGACCCAACAGTTACAACGCACTGAGCTCTCTTATTAACTGCTCCCTCTGTTTCCCCACCCTGACGATGGACACACATACATACACACACACACACACACACACACACACACACGCGCGCACACAAATCTATTGGCTCTTAATCCAGAAAGTTGGGTTTTAGCTTCTCTTGCTCGGTAAGACAGACCTGTGCACCAGGCATCACTGGCATTTAATAAATGTGTCACTGTGGCCAAGAGGTAGCGAGGTTCTTCAGTTAGTCGCAGATGGTTTACTCGGACACAAAATGGGACCAAGAAAATCCAAGATCTCAGGTGGGATGGAGGGTGTCAGTGGCAGGGCCTGGCCTGAGATCAAGAAATGTCAAGTCAACCCCTGCGCGACCAAATTGAACTTCCATTACAGATTCGGCAGCAGTCAACATAATGATTTGAAAAATTGAGTTTCTAAATGCTTGCTAATTGGCCATTGTCCTCCTCACAGGTCCGTTTTTGCAATGTCTAGCTGTTCTCCTGAAAGACCAATCCATTATCGATAAGTGTTACTCCCAGCATCAAGCAGGATCACAGGTACTGTCACATCCTTCCATGCGCTTGTGTCACAAGGCTTTGAATTCACTGGTTATCCCTAATCAGCCCTTGCTTTTCCAAATGCATGTAAATCCTATCCCTCAAAATCGCCTCCAATTGCTTAACCACCCCTGATGTAAGGCTCACCAGTCTGTGGTTCCTTGGCTTTTCCTTACCACCTTTCTTAAATAATTGCACCACATTAGCCAACCTCCCGTCCCCCAGCACCTCATTAGTGGCTAAATATCTCAGCAAAGGGCCCAACAATCTCTTCCCAAAAAGTTCTGGGAAACACCTGATTAGATCCTCGGGATTTATCTACCTTTATGTGTTTTAAGACCTCTTCTGTAATATGAACTCTTTTCAAGACATCACTATTTATTTCTCCAAGTTCTGTAGCTTTCATGTCCTTCTCCACAGTAAATACTGATGCAAAATGTTTGTTTCATATCTTACCCATCTCCTGTTGGTCCACACATAGATAGCCATGTGATTTTTAAGGGGCCCTATTCTCTCCTTAGAAACTCTTTTGCCATTGATGTATTTATAGAATCGCTTTGGATTCTCCTTAATTCTATTTACCTAAGCGGTCTCATGTCCCCTTTTTGCCCCCCTGATTTTCCTCTTAAGTAAATCTGCTTCTCTTTAGGTTTTAGACTGTTTTAGTACATCTTCTCACTTTGCCTTTGATTCCTTAAGTCTCCAAAAGAAAATCCAGTTGTATCTTGTCTCTGCATCGACATCCATTTCAACGTCAAAGCCTTGGTAAAATCAAAGGGCAAAATCTCAGAGTAACGACTTACACAGTGATGAGGAGAAATTTCTTCTCTCAGAGGGGAGTGAATCTGTGAAATTCCTGACCCCAAAGGGCCATCAATGTTGGGTCATTAATTATACTCAAGGCTGAGATAGATTTTTAAATCATGAAGGAATCAAGAGTTATGGGAGAAAGGCAGGAAAGTGGAGTTGAGGATTATCAGTGATGATCTTTGGAATAAATCCACAGAGGACAGTATCCCATCACCAAGTTACCCTTTATTTACATTGTACATGACACTGACCCAGCTAGCACAGAACTGGCTCCTAGAGTGAGCAGAACCCCTAATACTCCTGCTTATATTTGTCAGCCAGAGCTCCTGATTAGATCAGGTTAACAGCCCCAACCAGGGAACTCGTATTCTATGAGATTCACCCAGCCTACCTTGTTACAATCACTACAATCTCATTGAATGGCAGAGCAGACTCAATGGGCTAAATGACCTGTTCCTGCTCCTATATCTTATGGCTTTGATCAGAAAGGGCAGTGGAAGCAAGTTCAATCATAGCTTACAACAGAAAATTGAATAAATGGTACATTTTCAGAGTTATGGTAAAAGAGCAGGCAAGAGTGGGACTAATTGGAAAATCTTTCAATGTGCTTACACAGTGACACAATGGGCTGAATGGCCCTTTCTCTCGTGGATGATTCAATGAATAAATCTTTGTAGAATATGCAATGAGCAACGCAAACTTTAAAAGTGGCCTGCATCTCAATTTTAATAGTCTCTTTTCCGCTTTCGATTCTCACCGTGATCTCACCCATTCCTAACTCTTTAAGGGCCCCCAAACCCCACATCCACTCAGCCCTCGAAAGATTAACTCTGTTTCTCTCTGCACAGATGCAGCCGGGCCTGCTAAGTTTCTCCAGAATTTTCTCTGTTTATTTGGGATAGACTTTATCCCCCTGAGGGAGTCCAGCTGTTTGTCACCGCACTGAGTACAGGGGCGATGGAGATTGTTATGGATCAGGCCAGACCCCCTCAAAATATTTGAAGACACCCTGTTTTTTTTATTTTAAAGGTAGATGTGAAGTGGGCATTCCAGGAGTGATGCAACTGGTCAAACTATTCAGCTTTAACCAAAACAAAATAGTTGAAACACGAACAAAAGAAAGTGGAATTTAGAATAACTTAGCTATTGGAAAACTTAACCAACCTGATACAGCAATTCAGTTGACCCGACCTGAAATGTCAACTTTCCTGCTCCTCTGATGCTGCCTGGCCAGCTGTGTTCCTCCAGCTCCAAACTGCATTATCTCAGCTGGCCTAATATTGTATCATCCCACAAACACACCCCTGGGCAAAAAGGTAAATTCAAACACAGATTTTTACAGGCAGGAGGGATCAACGTCCAGAGAGATTTCAGAGAATGTCAGTTAGGAATCATTTACTGAAACTTGCAACCCTTTTGATACTCAAAACATCTTGTGACTGCTACAGCTACAAAATAGAAAACCCTGAAACTGGGAGAACCGGCCGCTAACTTTCTATTGTTAAACTATTTTAGCTTTCTAGCTCCCTAGACTCTTCGGCACTTCTGCCTTTACCTCACTTCAAAAAAAAACCTAGGACAAAATAACCTTTTTTAAAATGACAGCGTTGTAACAAGATCTTCCCTGAGATCTCCATGGGCGTGGTCAAGAGAAAGCGCCTTTGTGACAAAATTTTTGCCCTAGCACAAAGTATGATGGTCTTCGGGATTAAATGTGTTCTTTCTGGAATAAGCAATAATTAGTTTCCAGACAGGAGGAGCACTTGACAGAGCTTGTACCTCAAGGCAGAAAGTCCAAGTCTGACTGCCACGCTGGGTTTTAAGGAGCAGCCATAATGTGGCCAAGAATGTTGATTGACAGCCTGGAAATCCATCCAATCTCCTTTTTGGCAGGCAGTAAGCGTGGCGGGGGTGGGGGGGAGTGGTGTCCTAGCAAGGGGGGACACTGGCAGACCACTTGTCCATAAGCCTGGTGTCAATCCCCCAATGGATGTTCATGGTCCAACTCTTGGATACAAGGACGGGAGAAAAGAAAGACGGTTTCCTTAAAGAACTAGGAGTGGAGAGATGATGAGACCATTTTCTTTTCATGATTTCAATTAGGAAATTGGGGAATAGGCATAGGCTGGGATGCCTGTTCTTCCTCGATTAGGATCTGCACTATGGGCAGACATCTCTGGAGTGAGATTTGATCTGACTGTAGGGGAGGTTCCATTTGCTCTGATCAGAACTAAGCCTAACAATATCTTTACTGACCTTCCTTTCTGTTTCTTTGTCATGAAGACTACAGTTGATCAACTTTGCTCTCTCATCAAGCCGACGCTCACGTTTGCAGAAAGTATGTGCCAAGACGAGATCCCCAGATCAGCACACAGCCCTATCACATTAAGAGTAAGTTTATAAAGCATCGTTACCTTAGTGTTAACGAAGAACATGCCAACTTCACACCTTGTCTTGCATTTGATGGATGTCAAATGAAATAGCAGATATTTCTCAAATGGTGAGAGGCTGGGAAATGTTGATGGTCAAATTGGATGTCCTTGACCATGAGTCACCAAAACCAGCATTCAGGCGAGTTAGTCTTTATTACAAGATGACTCGAATATGGGAGTAAAGATGTCTAGCTGCAATTGTATGGGGCCTTATTAAGTCCATGTGTGTATTGTACACAGCTTTGGTCTCCTTCCCTAAGGACAGGTAGAATTACCATAGAAGGAGTGCAGGTTCACCAGACCAGTTTTTAGGATGGAGCGATTGTCCCATGATGAAAGATTCAATAAACTTGGTCTATATCATCTGGAGTTTAGAAAAGTAGGAGGCCACATTTGGAATACTCCGTTCAGTTCTGGTCTCCCTGCTATAGGAAATATGTTGTTAAAGGTGCAGAAGAGATTTACAAGGATGTAGCCAGGGTTGGAGTGTTTGAGCTATAGGGAGAGGCTGAATAGGCTGGGGCTATTTTCCCTGGAGTGTTGGAGGCTGAGGGGTGACCTTATAGAGGTTTATAAAATCATGAAGGGCAGGGATAGGGTGAATAGTCAAGGTCTTTTCCTCAGGGTAGGGGACTCTAAAACAAGAGGACATAGGTTTAAAGTAAGAGGGGAAAAATTTGAAACGGACCTAAGGGGTAACATTTTCACACAGAGGGTGGTGCATGCATGGAATGAGCTGCCAGAGGAGGTGGTGGAGGCTGGTACAATTACAATACTTAAAAGACATCTGGATGGGTACGTGGACAAGAAGGGTTTAGAGGGATATGAGCCTAATGCTGGCAAATGGGACTATATTAATTAAGGATATCTGGTCGGCATGGACAAGTTGGACCTAAGGGTCTGTTTCCAAGCTGTACAACTCTATGACTGTATGGGTCAGGCAACAGATTCCAGGTCACTACCACCCTCCAGCAGAAAACAATTCCCATTGATTCTCCCTTTAAACTCTTACATCTTGCCCCAAATCAATTCCCCGGATAATGGACCCTGGAGCAAGAGTAACAGGCCCTTCCTAGACACTTTAGCTAGACCGCCTTATAAGTTTATAAGCTGTAGTTAGGTCCTCCCTTCAGTCCTTTCTGTTGTAAAGGCAGCAACCGTAGCCTTTTGGAGGAAGGTTTGATCATTTCAGTTGTCCTGCAGAATCCTCCCCAAAGTATCCACTGGATATATCTCAGTTCTTCCAAGCATTGTCCCATTGGTCATTAAAGCTGAGGGGACATCGCTGAAGAGGTTTGGCAATGGTCCATAATGGCTTTCTCAACTTGTTTGGTGATGGAATTGTTAAGTTGGTCTCGATCGCCAAATTGTTGCTGATTTCCCCAGAGTCTGCCAATGTATGGGTCAAGAATTAACCCTGCATCGTAAAAGAGCATTGATTAACTGAAGGAGGCTTATAAAGAATTTCTGAAAGCTAAGAGGCTATGTGCGGACATGAAGGACTGAATGGCCTCCTTCTGCCCCACATCATAGCACAGAAGATTGTATCCATCCTCACCAAGAACAGGCTCAAATGGAATGGATCTCAAGGAAAACTTATTGAGCAGGGCAGTCAATGTTTACACTGAGGTTTTCATGAAAGGAGCAGGGGGAGAAAACTGGTGTTATAAAACAATAATTACATCTCATCCACAGAACGTCATGAGCTTTGGAAACAAATTCATCAATGACAGTTCCATGCTGGAGAAAGTGGACAATGAAAATCAACTACAGTCAACCTCAGTGTTCTTGAATGCCATGGAAAGTTTCACCCTAAATGCAGCTTTGGCCTTACCTGGCCAAAAGGCCAAGAACATAGCAACGCCATATTTAGGTACAGTCGAAACTTTGCAAATATCTTCATGGCTGTTTTTGTTTTGAAGTGTAGAAGAGGTAGTTCTGGTAATAATTCAGTGTATAAGATGCAGGATCATGAAAGCACACATGTGGGGAGTGGGTGGGAAAGTGCAATTGAGGCAGTACACCAGCTATGATTGTATTGAATGGTAGAGCAGGCTTGTTGGGTCGAATGCTCTATCCCTGCTCCTGTTTTTTAATCTCTTACTTGAGGGAGGGCTGGCAAATTCTCTCTGGTGCCTTATATAAGAGATATCGGCTTGACCCTTCAAGTCTGTTCCACCATTGAACAAGAGCATGGCTCTTGCTCCACCTCAGTGCCATCTTCCTACAGTATACCCACGTCCCCTGATTCCCTCAGTCCTGAAAAATCTAACATCATCTGTCCTGAACATGCTCAATGTCTGAGTACCAATGATCCTCTGTCGTAGAGAACAGCGAAGATCCGAGTTTCCCAAACTAAACTAGTCCCCCTTGCTTGCAATTGGCCTATAACCCTCCAAACCTTTCCTATCCATCTACCTACCCAACCATCTTTTAAATGTTGTACCTTTATTCTACATCTGCCACTTCTTCTGGCAGCTCGTTCTACATACGAACCACCTTCTGTGTGAGAAAGTTGTCTCTCAGGTCCATTTTAAATCTTTCTACTCTCACCTTAAAAATAGGACCCCTAGTTTTGAACTCCCGCATCCTAGGGAAAAGACCTTTGCTACTCACCTTACCTATGCCCCGCAAGGTTTTTTAAACCTGTATAAGGTCACCCCTCAATCTCCTGCGCTCCAGGCAGAAAGGTCCCAGCCTATCCAGCCTTTTAGGGCTTGAACACTTTCTTCCCTGCCTTTACCCTAACAACCACACACCAGGCCTTGTCATCACAAGGGTGGTACCATTAAGAACCCATTGCCAACCATTAATGGTCCCCATTAGCAGTTATACGTTCTCCCAGGCTGACCATGATCCAGTCCTTTGTCTGCCCAACTGTTTCTCGTTCTCTCTCTGGGCTCATCTCCACCTATCATTTACTCTTCCCAACTCCCCACAACTGACCTTCAACCTTTCCTAACCACAACCAGTTCTGAGGAAGGGTCTCTGGACCCAAAACGTTAACTGTCCACAGATGCTGCCAGACCTGCTGAGCTTTTCCAGCAATTTCTGTTTTTATCTCTAAAACAGTGAGGGTTTTCACTCTTTTTTTCTTCATTCATGGCACGTGGGCCAATGTTTATTGCCTGCCCCTACTTACTCGGAGGGCAGTTATGAGTCAACCACATTGCTGTGGGTCTGGAGTCACATGTAGGCCAGATCAGGTAAGGATGGCAATTTCCTTCCTTACTGAACCAGAAAGGGTTTTCCAACAATCAGCTGTGCTTTCATTAGACTCTTGCTTATTTAACTAAATTGAAGATTATTTTATTCAATTCAAATTCCACTATCTTCCACGGACAGATTTGAACCCTCGTCCCCAGAACATTACCTGGGTCACTGGAATAATAGCCTGGCAATAATACTATTGGGCTATCACCTGTCCTATTAACTGGCTGCTTGTGGGAGCTTGCTATATACAAATTGGCTGACACGTTTTGCTATATTAAAACACAATTTCAGTGCTATTTTACTACAAATTCTGGTCACCATATTATAGGAAGGATATTATTAAGCTGGAGAGGGTTCAGAAGAGATTTACCAGGATGTTGTTGGGCAGGGAATGTTTTTTTCTACTCATTTGTGGGACGTGGGCATTGCTGGCTGGGCCCAGCATTTCTTGCCCGTCCCTAGTTGCCCCTTGAGAAGGTGGTGGTGAGCTGCCTTCTTGAACCACTGATGTCCTCCTGCTGTGCGTTGACCCACAATGCCCTTAGGGAGGGAATTCTACAATTTTAACCCAGCAACTGTGAAGGAACGGCGATATATTTCCAAGTCAGGATGGTGAGTGGCTTAGAGGGGAACGTGCAGGGGGTGGTGTTCCCATATATCTGCTGCCCTTGTCCTTCTAGATGGAAGTGTTTGAGAGTCTGGAAAATGCAAAGGATTTCTGGTGAATTTCATCAGTGCACCTTGTAGATAGTACACACTGCTGCTCCTGAGCGTCGGTGGTGGAGGGAGTAGATGCTTGTGGATGTGGTGCCAATCAAGCGGGCTGCTTTGTACTGGATAGTGTCAAGCTTCTTTAGTGTTGTTGGGGCTGCACCCATTCAGGCAAGTGGGGAGTATTCCATCACACTCCTGACTTGTGCCTTGTAGATGGTGGACAGGCTTTGAGGAGTTAGCAGGTGAGTTACTCGCTACAGAATTCCCCACCTCTGACCTGCTCTTGTAGCCACACTACAAGTTATAAGGAGTTGGAGACGCTGGATAGGCTGGAACGTTTTTCACTGGAGCATAGGAGGTTGAGGAGTGACCTTATAGAGGTTTATAAAATCATGAGGGGCATGGATAGAGTTAATGGCAGGTGTCTTTTCCCTGGGATGGGCGATTTCAAGACTAGGGGGGATATATTTAAGGCGACAGGAGAGAGATTTAAAAAAGACATGAGGGGCAATTTTTTTACACAGAGGGTGGATCATGGGTGGAAATGAACCTCCTGCGAAAATGGTGAATGTAGGTACAGTTACAATGTTTAAAAGACATTTAGATATGTACGTGAATAGGAAATGTTTGGAGGAGTATGGGCCAAGTGCAGGCAGGTGGGACTAGTTTAGTTTGGGATTATGGTCAGCATGGACTGGTTGGACCGAAGGGTCTGTTTCCGTGCTGTCTGACTCTATGACTATAAATACGTCATTGACCGTAAAGTGCTTTGGAATGAGCTGAGGACGTTAAAAAAGTGATAAAAATTCAAGTTTTCATTTCATTTTCTGTAAATCAGTCCAATGTTTCACAGTGTTTCCATGGTCTGTGCTTCGCTTGAGGTTCTCTCCAAGAGCAGCCACTGCCCTAGGGACTGATTCCTTATAAACTGTTGCTCCTAGTGCTGTGCTAAGAGAGCTCTGGGCTTTTGGGCTGGTGCTCTGGCCTGTTGGCAGGTCCCATTTCTGGATCATGCTCCCTGGGCCACCAGAAAACCAAGAGGGAAACTGCTCTGAGTCCCACCAGGGATGGGGATAGCAAGATCCCATGAAAACTGAGTCATGAATGGAGGCAAGGATTTGTTTAGGGGAATGAGACTAAAGATGCAATAAACTCTCAGAGAATCTTCTATTACAAACATCTTCTCAACAAACAATGAGATGGAGTATCAGTTTTAAGCAGCTTGACTACCATGTTGTAGCCAGTACCACAAAGTCTGCCAGGCCAGTCTTAAAGGGAAGGTTACAGAGGCCCCCAGTCAACAAGCTTCAACTCATAGAATCCCTATAGTGTGGACCATTTGAGTCCACACTGACCTTCCAAGGTGTAAGCCACCCACACTCACCACCTCCCCCCACCCACCCCCCACCCACCTAGCCCTGTAACCCCACATTTCCCATGACTAATCCACCTGGACTACACATTCCTGGACACTATGGGGCAATTTAGCACGGCCAATCCACCCCAACCTGCACATCTTTGGACTGTGGGAGGAAACCCACGCAGACACGGGGAGAAAACCTGCAAACTCCACACAGGCAGTCGCCTGAAGCTGGAATCGAACCTGGCGCTGCGAGGCAGCAGTGCCAACCACCGAGCCACCATGAATGAATTACCAGGTTGTGAAAGCAAGGCCAGCAGGAGTACACAATATGACCTCTCTGTTATTAAAAAAGTGTCAGAGCAGCCAGGAGACGACCCGATAGTGGGACATGTCACCCACAGACACAAGTAGAAGAGTTTATCACATTTACAACTGACCTGAACGATAGGGTTTTTTTTTATTTAACTTGTAGATCTTGATGTTCGCGTCATCCAAACGAAGGATCATTCAAATATACCTGACAAAATAACCCTCCACGCGAATGAAAACATAATGGATGCTTATTCACGGACGGTGACCCAGGGAGGAGCTGGAGGTGAGCTTTCATTTCTTTTGGGCTTTGCTTCAATGTTATCTATTTGCCCGTTTTGGTAGACTTGGGCATCAGCCTTTGCCAACATTTCAAGGTTAAAAATCTTGCATTGATATAGCGCCGTTTGTGACCTTACGATGTCCCAGTGTCACAGAGCAGTCATGGGTTATTGTAATGTAGGAAACGCGGCAGCCAGATTGTGTGTGACCAACTGGAATCTGACAATAACCAGATCATCTACTTTAGCAACACAGCGATAAACATTAGTCAAGACACCAGGAAAAGTAGATTGCCCTCTTCTTCTTCAAAGCTGGACTGTGGGATCTTTCATCTCCAAAGAACCGAACGTCCGGTTACCGTCTTATTAAAAAGGTGGCATCCCCTGACAGTGCAGCACTTCCTCAGTGGATCTTACATTCAAGTCTCTGGAGTAGGACTTGAAACCGCAGCCTTCTAATGGGAACGTAGGAATTTGGAGCAGGAGTAGGCCACTCAGCCCATCAATCTTGCTCCACCTTTTAGCTGGCCTTCCGTATCGCCTGATATCTTTCATACCCTTCCGAGAATGCTACCCATTGGGCTGTGACTTGTATTCTGTCGTCGGCAGGAAGCGGTTGCGTGTTATTCTTGCCGGTATAGGAGCAGAGCTAACTTGCACTGTATTTTCTGACAAATATCTGGACAGGGTCTATCGCCATTGCTTTCATCTCATACGACCAACTGAACTTCCTCCAGAGCGGGGATTTCATCGAGAACGAAAGGTCAAGGCCTTACCAGTTGATCTCGGGAGTGGTGTCGGCCACATTCGGAAACCACAGATCTCACAAACTCAGCATGGGAGTCAACATCACTCTGAAACACAAAAAGGTCTGAGGCATTGCAACTACTGACTAGGCCCTGAGTGCAGAATAAACCCTGCCTCGTGCCAAAGGGATTAAAGATAACGAGTGCCATGATGGTTTACTAACGCAATTGGAACTCGCTCACATATCTGCTGCCCATATCCTAACTCGCTCCATTATCCATGTGCTCACTGGTCCATATTGTACCCCTAACAATCCAGCAACACCTCTGTTTTAAAATTCTCATCCTTGTTTTCCAATCTGTCCATGCCTTTGTCCACTCCCTGTGTTTATAATCCTTCAAAATCTGTGCTTTCTTTTAAATTTGTTCATGGAATGTAGCATATTACTGACTGGACCCTCAGTTTTTACTCAAGTTCCCAGAGGGCAGACATCCACTTGTAGGTTGTAGGTTTACAGACAGATGTAGGCCAGACCGGGTAAGGATGGAAGATTTCCTTCCCTAACAGACATTAGTGAGCCAGATGGGTTTTAATGACGATTGACAGTGTCTGCATATTTGCCATCAAGCTAGCTTTTAATTCCAAATTTATTTTTTACTTAATTCAAATTCCAGCACTGCCATGATGGGATTTGAACCCAGGTCCCCAGGACAATCAACTAGTCCAATGACAATTCCAGCTGCCTCCTCCAAATCGGACCTGTTAAGTCATTTCCCCTCTCTCAATCCATTTCCTTCGCACCACCACTTACATGTCACAAAGTCATAGAGTGATAGAGTTATACAGCACTGAAGAGGCCATTCGACCCATCAAATCTGCACCAATGATCCCATTTCCCACACTAGGCCTGTAGCCTTGAATATTATGACACTTCAAGTGCTCGACCATGTACTTTTAAAAGGTTGTGAGGTGTTAACAATGAGAGAATGACCAAACCCCTCTGATAGTTAAACCAAAACACAAGCCTCAATTTGCTATGATGGGAATAGAACTTGCCTTCTAATAATTACACTCAAAACACCCAGAGAAGCTCGCCTTTCCCCTATTAATCTATTAATAGAGTGGTCAAAAGAAAGAAAATCCATGATCTCCACTTTACAAATAACAAGAAACAATTTATTTTACTTAACCCAACAATGAACAAATTAACAAAATTACTAACAAACCAACAATTTCCCCTTAGACTACTAACTACTCCCTCACTGGTCTAAATTCTACTGGAATATAAACCCAATTAATAAGGAGCGATAAATTATAACTTGACATCTCCAAGTTCGCACAGACTGTCATCTGGAATATTCTGTCGTCTCCAGTCTCTTCACGAACGCCTTTCTTCTGCTGATTCTCTCTGTAATTTCTTCAGTGATGACTTTGAGCTAAAATACCATGGTACCTTTGATTAATTAGATGGGCTTTCTCTGAGACCTGGTGGCAATTGTCTCTCTCTTTCAGTTGAGCAATTGGCTCTCTCTGATTTTCCAAATGCCCTAGTCTTATACACCCATAATTACATCATCAAATTCTTATAATGTGATTAGTTTCAGGTTGTCAACACCATCAGATTTAAATTCGACAGGCTTTCTGTATCTGGGTGCTTTGTTTAAATTAATTGGCCAAGTTCAAACTTGGTGTCTTGGTAAAACTGCTGCTTGGCTGTTCAATACAAAATGTTTCCCTTCGGGAACTTTCTGTGCACCTTCATTTGTAAACTTCCAAGCACAGACAAAGCATAAGCTCTTAAAGAGACCACAGCACTCTTTTCCCCATGAACATTTTTACTAACTTCCTGCCTTCCAATTCAAGAATACTCCACTCAACTTTGTGACAGAGGTTTCCTGCTTCTGAGGAAGGATCACCGGACCCGAAACATTAACTCTGTTTTTTCCTTCACTGATACTGCCAGACATAGAGCATAGAACATAGAACAGTACAGCACAGTACAGGCCCTTCAGCCCATGATGTTGTGCCAACCTATTATCCTACTAAGATCAATCTACCCTGCATACCCTACATTTTACTATCCCCCATGTGCCTATCCAAGAGTCGCTTAAATGCCTCTAAAGTATCTGACTCTACTACCACTGCTGGCAGTGCATTACACGCACCCACCACTCTCTGTGTAAAGAATCTACCTCTGACATCTCCCCTATACCTTCCATCAATCACCTTAAAATTATGCCCCCTTGTAATAATCATTTCCGCCCTGGGAAAAAATCTCTGGGTATCCACTCTATCTATACCTCTCACCATCTTGTACACCTCTATCAAGTCACCTCTCATCCTTCTTCGCTCCAATGAAAAAAGCCCTAGCTCCCTCAACCTTTCCTCATAAGACCTGCCCTCCATGCCAGGCAGCATACTGGTAAATCTCCTCTGCACCCTCTCTAAAGCTTCTACATCCTTCCTATAATGAGGTGACCACAACTGAACAAAATATTCCAAGTGTGGTTGAACCAGAGTTTTATAGAGCTGCAGCATAACCTCATGGCTCTTAAACTCAATTCCCCTGCCGACGAAAGCCAACACACCGTACGCCTTCTTTACAACCCTATCAACTTGGGTAGCAACTTTGATGGATCTATGGATATGGACGCCAAGATCCCTGTCTTCCTCCACACTGCCAAGAATCCTGCCATTATACCCTGTATTCTGCATTCAAATTTGACCTTCCAAAATGAATCGCTTCACACTTTTGGGTTGAATTCCATCTGCCACTTCTTTGCACAGCTCTGCATCCTGTCAATGTCCTGTTGCAACGTACAACAGCCCTCCACGCTGTCCACAACTCCACCAACCTTTGTGTCATCGGTAAACTTACTAACCCAGCCTTCCACTTCCTCATCCAAGTCAATTATAAAGATCACAAAGAGCAGAGATCCCAGAACAGATCCCTACGGATCACCACTGGTCACTGAGCTCCAGGCTGAATACTTTCCATCTGCTACCCGCTCTGTCTTCTATTGGACAGCCAGTTTTGTATCCAGAAAGCCAAATTTCCCTGAATCCCATGCCTCCTAATTTTCCAAATGAGCCTACCATGTGGAACCTTATCAAACCTGCTGAGCTTTTCCAGCAACTTTGTTTTTGGTCCTTGTTTTTTTTTCCTGCCTCTACTACCCTCCCAAGCAGTGCATTCCAGACCCCTGGCACTCTCTCGGTGAAAACAATGTTACCTCAAGCCCCCCTCTTAATGTCCAGCCCTTCTGTCTCGACTTTGAACTCTGAGATGCCCTCTCTCAACCTCTCCCCCTCTCCTTTCTAAAGTTACCTTTAAAAAAAGCACCTCTTTGGCCAGGCTTTTCCAATCTCTCCATGTATGGCTCAGGGTTGGATCTCAATCGATGATGTCCTTGGGGAATGTTTGTCCGCATGAGAGGCGCTATACAAATTCATGCCAGTTCTTGTTGTGAACTTCTGTCTCGCGCAGAGAGCTGAAGGACGGCCAGCATGCGTTTACTGGAACCACATGAAGGGCAGAGGTCACTGGTCACCTGAGGGGTGTGTCGTGATCACTTCGAACGAGACCCACACAGCTTGTGGCTGCCACCATTTGTCCAGCTTCGCTGTTCTCATGGCGGCTGTTGAGGTACAAAGTGACTGAAGATCGAGCTCTCGGGAAATGACATTGTTTAGGCCACCTTTGGAATACTGTGTTCAATCCTGCTCTTCCCGCTATTGGAAAGATATTGTTAAACTCAAAGGTGTTCTGAAAAAATTTACAAACGGTTCAGAGGGTTTGAGCTACAGGGAAAGGTTGGATAGGCTGGTGCTATTTTCCCTGGAGTGTCGGAGGCTGAGGCGTCATCTTACAGAGGTTTATAAAATCATGAGGGATGTAGATAGGGTGAATAGCCAAGGTTTTTTTTTAACCCAGGGTAGGGGAGTCCAAAACTAGAGGGCATAGGTTTACAGTGAGTGGGGAAAGATTTAAAAGGGACCTAAGAGGCAACATTTTCATGCAGAGGGTGGTGCATGTATGGAATGAGCTGCCAGAGGAGGCTGGTACAATTACAACATTTAAAAGGCATCTGGGTGGGTATATGAATAGGAAGGGTTCAGAGGGATAAGGACCAAATACTGGCAAATGGGACTAAATTAATTTAAGATATCTGGTTGGCATGGACGAGTTGGATGGAAAGATCTGTTTCCATGCTATACATCTCTATGACTCTAAAGAACTGTCTTTTGCTTAAAGCTTAATGGTCAGTATAGATGAGTTGGACCAAAGGGTCTGTTTCTGTGCTGTATGACTCTAGAAATCTATGACAAGGTGTGGGTGTTTAGGGTTACCCTAACTGCTGAGTGGGAAAACCACCTGAACACCATTCGCAATCCACCCCTCACTCTTACACTGTTCCCTTCGATGGCAAGAGGGAACAAGACAGTTTGTAACATTGCGCTCGATTGCATTGGTCTCCCAAAGGGAAGGGGAAGCTGAAATTGCCAGCAATAATTCGGAAAAGAACCAACTTATTAATTCTGTTCCACATTCCTTGATCCTGCGCTGGATGTTTGGGCTGTTGTCCCTGGATTTCAGTATCTCACTCTGTCAGCCATTATTGATCAGGAGCCCAAGTGTCAACAAGGAATCTCAATCCGGGGAGGGAGGAGTGGGGTATCCGAGCTGGACACAGCTGTGATTTAATACACATGTCCCTAGGCATGGAAACACTGGTTGATTGGGATTCTAATTTGTGTCTAGCCTCAGGACACTGAGACCATTTAGGACACCCTGCCCTCCGATATTGGTTAAAGCTAGGAATCTCAACATGGATCTGGAATGACACCTGACTCTTTCCTGATCAGTCTCTGAGCTGTAAGTGCAGGGTTCCTGGATCCAAGCCCCGCACGACAGCTCATGGAGCTCAGATTTGTTCCGTAGCGTCACCACGTCCCACCTTTTCTTTCCCCATTTTTCCACTTCCCAAGCAACAGCTCTTTTACCCCCTCCATCCGGGATGAGGGGCCTTTGCCCCTCGATGGGAGGTGAACAGAAAGCTCACGTGGAGTGTAGACACCAACTCTTGCCAAACCTCCACTCTCTACTACGCAGAAGACAAGAACACCAAGACCATGGTTACACTATGGTGGCACGGTGGCTTAGTGGTTAGCACTGCTGCCTCACAGCGCCAGGGACCCGGGTTCAATCCCACCCTCGGGCGACTGTCTGTGTGAAGTTTGCACATTCTCCCTGTGTCTGTGTGGGTTTCCTCCAGGGGCTCCGGTTTCCTCCCACAGTCCAAAGATGTGAAGGCTAGGTGGATTGGCCATGCTAAATTGCCCTTAGTGTTTGGGGATATCTAGGTTAGGTGGGTTATAGGGGGACGAGTCTGGGTGGGATTCTCTGAGGGTCGGTGTGGGCTTGTTGGGCCGAAGGGCCTGTTTCCACAGTGTAGGGATTCTGTCATGTTCATGTTCCCAACTGGTACACATATTGGCCATAGGTGCAACTCCCTCCCTGATAGCACTGCAGGGTTACCCATGCTGTAAGGTCAGCATTAGCTCACAAACTATGGCTCACCACCACCTTCTCAAGGGCCAATAGGGGTGGACCATAATTGGCTGCCTTGAGCTACACCTACACCCCAGCAATGATCCCCATTGGGAAGTCAACACCCTACTACACTGTCAAGTCGATTTCTCAATGACCTGGAAGGTGCAGTCCTGAGGATAGAGTTCAGACTGGCAGCAAAGGAAATGCCATTATCTAATGGCCTGCTAATCACGGGGTTATGGGGAGGGGACAAGGCATTACATGGTCATTTAGAGAAGGCACGAAAAGTCGTGTGTCTGTATTGCAACAAGGAAGTAGTGCCATCACCAGAGGAGGAAAGAGAAAGAAAAGTTTTTTTGTTTTAGTTGTATTCTGGAAAGTGGTTGCAATTTGCATTCTGCTCATTTAGGAGGATAATCACTTCAGTTGGAACCTCAGTGTCATAACACAGGTTGGAATCAGCCTGTCACTGATCTGCCTGGGCTTCACTATCGTCACCTTTCGGTTCTGCACCCAAGTTACCAACCACAACAACACCATCCACATCAACCTGTGCATCACCATGTTTCTGGCTGAGCTACTCTTCCTGGTGGGCATTCACAGAACTGACAACAAGGTGAGCAACTCTCAGGTTAGCAAGCACATCCCTGTACCCCTACCTCCAGCACCCACCGCCCTCCAAAACCCTTTTAACAATGTCCACTTTATTCAATGCTGACTGGACGTGGGATAGTAGGCTTCCTTTACAAAGAATGCCAAAAGGGGATTGAGCCCAGGTCAATGAGGGCATCCTCTACTGGAACCGAGACACCTTAAGCAAAAAGCTAATGCATTGACAACAAGGTTTCAAATTCCACCATGGCACCTGATGGAACCCGAATTCAAATTAATAACACTCAAAATTTGAAGATGAAAAACTAATTTCAGTAACGACCATGGTGAAGCATTCAGCAATTGTCATAAAACCCATCAGGTTCGCTAATGTCCTCTCAGGAAGGAAATCTGCTGTCCATACTTGGACTGGCCCATATGTGACTCCAGGCCAACAAGACTGCCCTCTGATGTGGTGTAGGGTCAGTTCAGGGTGGGCAACAACTGCCATTGATACCAAAGTTTGCAATTTGCCAAATATCTATCAATACAACTTCACTTCCAACTTATTCTACTTATATTGTGAATGCGTTCTTGTTTAGCTCAGTCAGCAGCGGTCTTGCCTTCGACTGAGTGATCCCTTCACTCCAGACTTTAAGTACACAAGCTCGGCTGGTTCATATCACTAAAGGAATGCAGTTACAGGGCCCTTATTTACATATGCTGTTGCCTCGTGTTTGGCACACCTCCTAACTTCTCAAAGACTGTCTTCCACCTCCACCTGGATAGGTGCAGTTCCAACAAAACTCAAGAAGCTTGGCACCACCAGGACAAAGTAGTCTGTTCAGTTGGCATCCTATTCCCCACGTCAAATGTTGACTCCCTCTACCACCAGAGGAACGTGGCTGCAGTGTGTACCATCACAGTAATGCCTTGCAGCGACCTTCCAACACTTTTGTTGACAGCATCTACCAAACTCACCGACTGGAAGGACAATGATAGTGGGCATGGAAACACTGCTCGGACATTCCCCAGGATTCCCCCCAAGTCACACACAGCCCACCCCAATGTGATGTGTATAATGCTGCACCTCACCAGGGTAGCACGCTGGAAATCAAGCCCTGTTATTCCCAGAGTCGTCATAAAGGTTTTAAATAGGACATAGAATTCCCCAATTTCCCTGTCTTTTAGACCAAACTTGATAGAAAGCACAGACCAGACCTCTGAAGTGAAGAAGAATCAATATTTATTACAAATAGCTACAGGTAATAGCCACAGACCATCAGCATATTAATGAAAATATAACTCACACACACGTGCGCACACATACAGACAGACACACACACAAACCGCCTCACACTCACACACACACACCCTCACACGCACGCACACACATGCACGCACACACACACACCCTCACACATGCACACACACGCACACACACCCTCACACATACGCACACACACACCCACATACCGCCTCTCATACACACACACACCCTCACACGCGCACACACACACACATACACTGACACACGCAAGCTCACACACACACACACAGTTCAGCCCATCATTAGGAATACAGAAAAAACAAAGAGACACAGTTTTTACAATTAGCCCATTCTATTATTCTCAAAATTTGCGACCCTCTGTCTAAGAGCAATGTGGGTTCCCTTTCACTGCACATAATGCAGCTGCTCAACGTGGCTCAACTTCACCTTCTGAAGGGCAACCAGGGGTGGGCAATACATGCCAATGCCTCCCACACCCTCAGAATTGTTTCGCATGCAGAAAATGTGAACATATAGAGACAGGTAAGGATAGACGTTGTGTGAGGATGAGATTCAACCTGTGCCCTTTGTTCCAGGTTGTGTGCACCATCGTCGCGGCATGTTTGCACTACTTTTTCCTGGCTGCCTTTGCTTGGATGTGTGTGGAAGGAATTCACCTTCACCTCATGGTCAGGAACCTCCAGAAAATCAGCAACTCCTGCGCCCGCAACGTGCTGCCGTGGTTCATGTACCCCTTTGGATATGGAATGCCGGCCATAATCATCGTCGTTTCCGCAGTAGTGTATCCCACTGGTTATGGGACACACCACTAGTAAGTAACACCTGAATGTGCAAAACAGGCAGACAGGAAAAGAACAGCAGATTCCTGCTATTCCCAAAATCGTCACAAATGTTAAAAGTATGTAGAATTCCCCAATTTACCGGAGTTCAGACCCGGGTTGACAGAAAGCACTGACCAGGTCACTATACTTAACACACGTTTTAATACTAATAGATAGACGTAAGCTATAAAAATAGGAAGGCAGATTACTACCGGAATGGCTGTAGATTGGGAGAGGGGAGTGTGCAGTGGGATCTGGGTGGCCTTGTGCACCAGTTGCTGAAGGTAAGCATGCAGGTGCAGCAGGTGGCAAAGAAGGCAAATGGTATGTTGGCCTTCATAGCGAGAGGGTTCGAGTGCAGGAACAGGGGATGTGTTGCTGCAATTATACAGGACCTTGGTGAGACCACACCTGGTGTATTGTGAGCAGTTTTGGTCTCCGCATCTGTGGAAGGCTGTTCTAGCCCTGGAGGGAGGGCAACAAAGGTCTACCAGACTGATTCCTGGGATGGCAGGACTGACGCATGAGAAGATGCTGGATTGGTTACGATGAAATTTAGAGGGGGTGGGGTGGAAATCTCACTCTAAACCTATAACATTCTAACAGGAGCAGACAGGATAAACCCAGCAAGGATGTTCCTGATGACTGGAGAGACCAGAACCAGGGGTCACAGTCTGAGGATATAGAGTAGCCTGTTTAGGACTGAGATGAGGAGAAATGTCTTCACCTAGAGAGTGGTGAGCCTGTGGAATTCTTTATCACAGAAAGTAGTTCAGGCCAAAAAAATTGAATGGTTTCAAGAAGGAGTTTGGTATAAAGCTAAAGGGATCAAAGGGTACGAGGAGAAAGAAGGAACAGGGGTCTGAGTTGGGTGGTATGCTAGGATCATACTGAATGGCCAAAGCAGATTCAAATGACCTAATAGCCTACTCTTACTCCTATGTTCTATGTTTTATGTTACAAGTTACAGTTATGAACCCTTGGTATATATCTTTACTAGATAAAACTCTAAGGCCTTTATAAGCCCTCCCTTAGACACACATACATATACTGATACAGTCAAAAAAAGATGGGTGTTATGGACAGAGGGAAATGCAGTTGGAGCATTATCATTAGACCACATTTTCTGGGGTAATTCTGGATTGTCAATAAATTCTGGCCTGGCTCAGATCTGATGAATGAAGGTAAACATACTGGTCACATTGCTTGTGAACTTATCACAGACACGTACCTCTGGATGGTCAGTCAGGAATAGAGTAGAGATCCATTTATAGGTTGCTATCCGTAACATAATGGAAAGCTTAGATGACTCAGTCTGATTTATATTTCTGGGGCTTTTTAACGTAGTCTGAAGCAGCAATGCATCATAGCATAGAGAGACTTTATGAGATGTTCAAAGAATAAAGTTTGTGGACAAACATATGAGGAAGGAGTGAGGTAGGAAGATGAAGAGAGTCCCACTGATGTCCCTGACTGTTTCAGTTTGCTGTCTCTCTTCTATTCCAGTTGCTGGCTGACAACTGAGCGTGGATTCATCTGGACTTTCATTGGCCCAGTCTACGTGATAGTTCTGGTAACTATGACATTATCTCAGTATTGGAGAATATTTGAGTGTTTCCCCCCTCCCAAATGTGCATTTTATACTTGTCCTTTCAACTAACTTTACAACAACCTCAAGGAGGTCTTGTGGGACAGTGGATAGTGTCCCTGCCTCTAAGCCTGCTTTGAGTCCCACTAGGGACTTGAAGGCCAAAGAAGGTAAGTTCATAACAATGGCCAAACAGGTAGATAGATCCATCCAGCAATTGCAAATGGCCAGTAGTAGGAGATTCCCAGTAGATCAGAGGGGATGAATAGGTGCCTCTATCCTTGTGTTCCCAAGTTAAGGAAGTGTTGTTATTACGGGGTTGAGGATTATCAGATTAGCCATCATGTCATTGAGTGGCAGAGCAGACAGGATGGGGGAATGGCCTACTTCTGCTCCTACATCTTACAGTCTTATGGACTTTTAAGGAAAGGCAGCATAGCTTCATCAACAGAGCCATGGTTCAAAATTGTTCTCCTATCTTACAGTGAAGGGAGGGAAAAAATTAGTGTGGTAAAATTTCTTGGCCTTTTTTATTGGCACACTGTTGGACTGAAGCCAATGTCTCCATGTGTTCTAGAGTTAGTGGAGGGTTGGGAGGGTGGCATTTACAAGTGGAGCAGTGGCACAGACTTCCATATTGCCCACTTGTCTGTGCCTCGGGGTGCAGCATCATTTTCTCCTGAAGTTTAACTTTAATCTTTCACAGACACCCACCTCAACAACATCTTGCACCCTTCACCCAGGGAAGCATTCCAAAATACTCGCTATAACCGGGTGGCACAGTGGCTCAGTGGTGCCTCACAGTGCCAAGGACCTGGGCTCAATTCCATTCTTGGGCAACTGTGTGGAGTTTGCACATTCTCCCCGTGCTTGTGTGGGTTTCCTCCAGGTGCTCCGGTTTCCTCCTTTAGGTTAGGGTGGATTGGCCATGCTAAATTGCCCACAGTGTCCAGGGATGAGCAGGTTAGGTAGGTTAGCCATGATAAAAATGTGGATGTACGTGGACAGGGTAAGCGACTGGGTCTGTGTGAGATGCTGTTTGGAGGGTTTGTGGACCAAATGGCCTCTTTTCTCACTTTAGGGATTCTAACTGTAAAGAATGCTATCTCCCATTTTGATGATACCCTTCCACACATCCCCCAACACCCCCCACCATGTCTCTATGGCTCCCAGCGGAGCAGGTCTGTTTCCTACTGTTCAAACCTATTTAGCATCTCCATCTTTTCTTTCATTAGTGCTCCCTTGGTCTTTTGCACTGGGCACAGGAGGGTGAACTGGACTTGATATAAGTTCAGTTGCAGGCAGCAGAGTTTCGGATAAGCTCAATTAGCTTATGGGGAAGGTGAGAATAGTAAATTAGAAAACTGGGATTTACAAATGACAGTAAGAAAGCTGAATAAAGGGAAATTCTACCGCAATACTTCCTGAGCACTGCTGGTTGGCATAAAGGCTTAAGATGTTTCATTGTTGTAAATAATTTTGACAGACCTGTTCTCCCCACAGTTTAATACGATGCTGTTTGCTGTGACCTTGTGGATACTGAAGGTACAACTCACTCGCCTGAATGCAGAAGTCACAAAAATTAAAGACATGAGGCAAGTGAAAACCCCAGATTCCAAACTCAAGCGTTACTCCGGAGCTAAGAGGAAGCAACGTTATTTTCGATGTACAGTGCCTGGAATTTTGGCCGCTTTCTTTCGTTTTATCTCTCCTTGGGCGTTTTGCAAGGGTGTCTGTAAGTGGGTAGGAACAAGCTATTGAACTGTCATCAGCATCATCCTCCAACCTGCCTCCATGTTGAACCAACAGTCAGACAAACAATATTTCACCGAGTCACCAAATTGTTACGGCACAGTAGGAAGCCATTCAGCCCGTCGTACCTGGACAGGCTCTTCAAACGTGCATCGTTACCGAGTGCCAATCTCCCCTATACCCTTCGCACACCGTTTTTATCCAAGTAACCATCCATTGTCCCTCTTGAATGCCTCAACTGAACCTGCCTCCACCACATTTCCAGGCAGTGCGTTCCTGACCCTAACTACCCACTGAGTGAAAAAGGTTTCTTTTCCTCACATGGCACTTGCTTCTTTTGCACATCACTTTAGATCTGTGCCCCTCTCGTTGTTGTTTCTTTGACATGCAGGAACAGCTCCTCCTGGTCCATTCTGTGCGACCCGCTCATGATTTTGAAAACCTCATTCAGATTTCCTCTCAACCTTCTTCTCTCCAAGAAGAACAGTCCCAACTTCTTCAATCTATCGTCATCACTGAAGTTCCTCATTCCTGGAAATATTCTTGCAAGTCACTTCTGCACGCTCTCCAGTGCATTCATATCTCTCCTATGTGGTGTTCACAACTTTACCCAAGACTCCAGCTGAGGTCTACATTGCTACAAGCTGCGCTCCCGTCACACAGAACTTTGGGTCAGGCTCCCTCTGGAATGCTGCATCCATTGTATTCAGTGGGTTTCCTCCGGGTGCTCTGGTTTCCTCCCACAGTCCAAAGACGTGCAGATTAGGTGGCTTGGCCATGCTAAATTGCCCATAGTGTTCAGGGATGTGTAGATTAGGTGGGTTATAGGGGGATGGGACTGGGTGGGATGCTCCAAGGGTTGGCGTAGACTTGTTGGGCCGAAGGGCCTGTTTCCACACTGTAGGGATTCTATGATGATTTCTGTGGAACACAATCAGGAAGACCAGATTAACCTTCAAGGAGGCACAGATTCACAAGGATGACAGCAAAGCTAAAAAGATTAAGTCAGGAGGGTAGGAGGTCTAGTCTTTTTGTTCAATGCAGTGTGCAACTCACCCAGGCTCCTTAGACAACAAGGTGCAGGGCTGGGTGAACACAGCAGGCCAAGCAGCATCATAGGAGCAGACCTGCTGTGTTCACCCAGCCCTGCACCTTGTTGTCTCGGATTCTCCAGCATCTGCAGTTCCTACTATCTCAGGCTCCTTAGACAGTCCCTACCAGACCCATGTTCCCTATCATCTAGAAGGATAAAGGCAGCAGATACATGCACATGTTACCATCTGCACATTCCCCTCCAAGCCACTCACTGTCCTGACTTGGAATTATATCAGTGTAGCTTCAGTGTTGCTGGGTCAATGTCCTGAAACTCCATTCCTGTCAGTATTTCAGATCTATCTTGAGCAAATGGGCTGCCGCAGTTCAAGAAGGCAGCGGACCACTGTAGGGATTGCAATGATGTGGACCTCATACAGTCTGAGTTCCCTGATTGGGGCTGTTAACCTGGTCCAATCAGGAAGCCCTGGCTGACAGATATAAACAGGAGGGTCAGGGGTTCTGTTCACTCTGAGAGCTGGCTCAGGATCAGGGACTCCCTGCATGTAAATAAAGGGTGACTAGGGCCGAGATACCGACCTCTGTGGAGTTCTTTCAACCACCAACTTCTCCAGGGCAACTAGCGTCAATAAGTGTCCCAGCCAGTGATGCCAATAACTGATGAATGAGTAAATAAAAATGTTCGATATTTGCTTATGTGAGTCTGCTAAGTCTGCTGGCATATATTTGATCAGATCAGGGGTGAGGACTCAGAGGCAAGTAAACCGATGTGAAAAGATAGGAAGGCTAGATGGGCTAATTCGTGTACTCCTATAATGTGTAGAAACTTTAAAGCATTGCATAAAAATCTGTAAAGAAACTCTTACACGCTTAAAAGGTCATCTCCACATTGTTTGAAGGGAAATCCAAACATACAAAATATACACTGTTCTGTAGATCAGAAAGTGATCAGATCGAGGAGTTTGAAATGTTGAATGTTAAAACTCCAGGATTTTGACTCAGCAACGCTGAAAGAATGGTGATATATTTGAAAGTCAGGATGGTAAGTGGCTTGGAGAGAAATTTGCAGGTGGTTACTTTTCCATTTATCTGCTGCTCTTGTCCTACTCGATAGTAGTGGCCATGAGTTTGGGAGGAGAAAAAGGCTTGGTGAGATTTTTTTAGTTCATTCATGGGATGTAGATATCTCTGCTAGGCCAGCTTTTATTGCCCATCCCTAGCTGCCCATTTAGTTAAGAGTCAACGACATTACTGTGGGTCTGGAGTCACATGTAGGCCAGACCGGGTAAGGATGGCAGTTTCCTTCCCTGAAGGACATTATTGAACCAGATGAGTTTTTCCAACAATCGACAATGGTCTTGAGGTCATCATTTGACCCTCAATTACGAATTGCTTATTGAATTCAAATTCCACCATCTGCCATGGCAGGATTCAAATCCTCGTCCCCAGAACATTGCCTGGCTCTCTGGATTAATAGTCCAGTGATAATACCGCTAAGCCATTACCTCCCTAGTTTCTGCAGTGCATCTTCTAACTGGTACACACGGTTGACTTTTTTTTTAACTGCCCTTTGAAATGCTCAAGCAAGCCACTGAGTTCCAGGGCACTTGGGGATGGGCAATAATTTTTAGCAATACCCATGTTCCAGGAACAAATCAAAGTAACTCACCCCACAGTCACAGTTGAAACCCCATGACCTACTCTACGCTGGTCATATTAGGAGGCCTGGATGGTATTACAAATGGCCAGCATTATCCTCCTGTTCCCTGCAATAACAGAGTATTAATCACAAGAGTGATTAAAATTGAGAGACATATCACAGATTCATAAGGCTAACAGCAGGCATAAAATAATTAAGGCATGACACTATGTTGCATAGTACAGGCTGTACGGTTCTTGAGCTCAATGCAGTGTTCGATTGCTCTGTGTTTATTTCCGTGAATCCGGTCCCTGATCCGATCATTGTGCTTGGTTGCTCAAGCATGGGCATGGACTCTGTGAAACGTAAAGAAAAGCCAAGCTGGGAGGATGGTGTAGACGTTTGGGTGCATATTTAGAAATCTGTAAATAAAATTCCATAGTTGCAATGAACAATATTAAGATCACCCGTTAAAACAGTGCGTTCTGAGTTCTTTGCATCTTCTACTCTTTATAGAATTCTAACACTTAAAGCCTTTGCACAAGTGTTTGTCCTGGGTTGCACCTGGATTCTTGGCCTGTTCCACTTTCAGGCTTCCAAATTGGTGACGGCCTATTTATTCACCATCGTCAACAGTCTACAAGGAGTCTTTATCTTCATCGTCCTCTGCTTATTAAACCGACAGGTAGGGACTTGCTTTCCACACTGTTCAATCTGCACGTGCCCTCGATAGGTCCATTCCAGCCCAAGACAATGTTGGGGAGGGTGATCAACTGTAACCTCACTCACCAAGGTGACCAGATTTCCAAAAGTTAGAATCAGGACCCATTGAAAAGCCATGGGGAGGTGGGGGGTGGGGGGGTGTTCTTGATGAATGACAGGTTGGAGAACCAATGCCAAGTGTTGGTGGGTGGGGGAGGGACCGCTGAAGGTAGGATGTCATGTGATGAAATCTCCCAGAATATGAAACAAAACCAGGAAACTCAACAGGTCTAGCGGCATCTAGTGGAGAGAAGCAGAGTTGGCTTTTTGAGCCCACTATTTGCCTGTTGATTTTAGCGGAAAAGCAAAATTGTCCCAACCAATCCAGGACATTTGGTTATCCTATCACTCGTCCGACACCGAGGGGATTCATCATGTTGTGTTCAATGATTTAATCATCCTGTGTTTAATTATATGTGAATGTTGACTGATCTATGCTCACAATGCTTGATTGGTTGAACCTGGTGTGATGTCTCCTTTAAAGGTAAAATAACTGTAGAAGCTGCTGCGTGGATTTTGTGACAACAGAGGCTTTTGTAGACATATCACCTGGAGTGTATTACCACTGATAGTTTAGAACTAAAAGGCAAAATAAATTGGCAAAAGCAGTGGTTTCTTACTCCATCCAATTTTAACCTGCACTAAATCCAGTATATGGACTGAATTTGTATATCTCCTTCCATCTTCCACCCCACCATCTCTTCTCACCTCTTCCTTCTCTCCCCCACCCCAGCTCCCATCTTCTATTTCAATCCCTGCCCTCTTCTTCTCCCCCTCTCCCATCTCGTTTCTCCTGCTCCTTCTCTTCACCTCAACCCTACCCTCTCATCTTCAATCACTATTTCTCCACTCCTCCCTCTTCCTCCTATCACTTTATTCATTGTCCTTTCACCCTTCTACTCCTCAACTGTCCTCTCTTACTCCTCCTGTCCTTCACTACCCACACTGCTCTCCTCCTTTTTGCTCTCTCCCAAGCCCCTTCCCTTTCCTCTCTTGCCCATCTCCACTTTATCCTTTCCTCCTGACTCCCCTCTCTTCTATCTCCACCTCTCCTCTCCCCTCCTCTCACCCTTTCCCACTCTTCTTTTCCATCTTTTCCCTCAGATTCCCTTCCTTCCCTCTGCAATCCCTCTCTACCTCACTGCAGGTACGTTTTGTACCCTCATCCAATGGACAAACTGCTCTTGTTCATTTTCTTGAAATGCTACAATCTTCATTTAGAGGCAATTTCAGGTAGTAAGAACATAAGAACAAAGGAACTAGGAGCAGGAGTAGGCCGTCTGGCCCTTCGAGCCTGCTCCGCCATTCAATAAGATCATGGCTGATCTTTTCGTGGACTCAGATCCACTTACCCGCGTTCTCACCGTATCCCTTAATTCCTTTATTGTTCAAAAAAAATCTACCTTTTTTTAACAACGTTTACTGAAGTAGCGTCAACTACTTCACTGGGCAAGGAATTCCATAGATTAACAACCCTCTGGGTGAAAGAGACGGCTTAGCAAACTTTGCAGGAAAGCTTGCTGAATGGAATCTGAATGAGCCCCTCATTACTGCAGAGGCAGACAAAGAAAGGGAATAACTGAATCCCAAAACTCATCAACATCCCATGGGCAGGGCAGGGGATGAATAAAGGGGCAGGAAGCATCGAGTCTGCAAAAGTCACAAGTGGAGAGTCTGAAGTGGATTATAAGCGGGACAGGGGTATGGCTTCTCTCTGAATGGTTCCTTGAGCATAAAACAAATACTCCTGAACTGAAACACATCCTTTCTCTGTGACTTATGGCTAAAGGTGATAGATGGATACCGGACCTGGCTCAACAAGCTGTGCATGATCAGGAAGAAACCTGCCTTCACGGATTCTGGGTCTGCAAGTGTGCCGATGACCATGTCAATGGTGAGTAGGCCCATTGATCAAGTGTCTTTGACCATGTGGTTAGATGCTGCACTATGAGCTTGGGTTTGAAATAAATTGGTCAAAGGGGATGGCAAAGTCAAGAACTGTCTTCAGGCTAGGACTTCAAGTAGCACAATTTATTACACATTAATGCAAAATACTGCTGGACATGGTAAGCATTTGTATACCAGGCTCTGTTGTGTAGTTAGATTAGGTGAGGACTGATCTATCCTCAAGTTGTGTTCATAAGGGGAGGCAATGTCCAAGTGATATTATCGCTGGACTGTTAATCCTGAGATCCAAGTAATGGTCTGGGGACCAGGGTTTGAATCCCACTATGGCAGATGGTGGAATTTGAATTCAATAAAGATCTGAAACTAAGAGTCTAATGATAACCATAAATCCATTGTCAATTGTGAGAAAAACCCATCTGATTCTGAAGAAGGGTCCAAACCCGAAACGTCAGCCTTCCTGCTCCTCTGATGCTGCTTGGCCTGCTGTATTCATCCAGCTCTACACCTTGTTATCTCAGATTCTCCACCATCGGCAGTTCCTACTATCTCTGATTCACTGATGTCCTTTAGGGAAGGAAACTGCCACCCTTACCCGGTCTGGCCTACATGTGACTCCAGACCCACAGCAATGTGATTGACTCTTAACTGCCCTCTGGCATGGATTTAAGTGCTAGCTTAGCCAGTGATGCCCTCATCCTCTGAATGCAAAAAATCCATGTGCTCTCAGGACTTTGTCTCATTCTAGAGTGGTTTAACTCTTCCCCCTGCGCCATTTAAATGCAGCTCCATCGTAAGGTTGCTCCAGGGTCCTGGCACTCTTACAGAGTGTAAGCTATGTCATGTTTTACCAGGCATACTCAGTCACCTGGCAAAGTGGCCTTATTCCTCATTGACCATGCACTTAATGCTCAGCAATGGACACTTGTAGTGTATTTACCCACTAACAAAGAGGAGCCTCTCATCCATCAGCTAGAAATTGGCCTTTGATGTAAAACATGTGACTTGCGTGGAGGCTTCATATGATATTGTCAACCATCCTTTTGTCTTCAGTGCATTTTTGAGGACTAGGCAACACCGAAATGGCTGAGTTATTCTTTTTTCTGAGAGCATGTCAATGAGATATACAGGAAGTAGTGGCATCATGGTAAAGTTACTGGACTGGTAATTCAGAACTCTCGCATTCTGGGGAAGTGTGTTCAAATCCCATTACGGCAGATGGTGAAATTTAAATTCAATACAAAAGAAAGCCTGTAACCATAATCGCAAAAATCCATTTGGTTCACTACTGCCCTTTCGGAAAAGAAATCAGTTTTCCTCATCTGGTCTGTTCGACATGTGGTCCACACGCACAGCAACGTGGTTGACTTACATTTCCTCTCTGAGGTGGCCTTAAAGCCTCCCAGTGCAAGGGCAATTAGGAATGAGCAATAAATGCTGGCCTAAGCAGTGACAGCCACATTGCCCATGAATGAACTCTCACTTGCTCCTTCCTCTGGGATCAGCCAAAGAATGGGCTTGTCACTCCTGAGCTTACATCCAAATCTCCCAAGAGCAAAATGTTCAGTTTTCGTATGGCTGGATTATGGATAATGCATCTGTAAAAAGCCACAAACCATTCAGAAAAGTGCTGTTGAGACATATGCGCAAGTGTACACTCGTGTATCAGGGACTCTTCAGCAAGTTACAGACATGTCGTCATCATTGCTTATATTGACTTCAGTAAAGGCTGCCAAAATGTGCCATTTCCTGTGCCAAGTCTAAACATATAATGCCACTACACCAGTGTGTATTAACTCTTCAATGACATTTGTTTAAATGCTAATTACGAAACTGTGGATATTGGTTCTGGTCTTTCCAGCAAATGTAGGGGCAGAATTAGACCATTCAGCCCATTGAGTCTGCTCCACCATTCAATAAGACTATGGCCAATCTGATAATCCTCAACTCCCACTTTCCTGCCTTTTCCCCATAATCCTTAATTCTGTAACTGACTAAAAATCTGTCTAATAATACATTTAATGACCCAGCCTCCACACCCCTCTGTGAAAATGAATTCTATAGATTCACAATCCTCTGAGAGAAGAAATTCCTCCTCACCTCTGACTTAATGGTTCTCCGACAAGGGGAAACAACCTCTCCATATTTACTCTGTCAAGCCCCTGAAAGAATTTTGGATGTTTCAACAAGGTCTCCTCTCATTCTTCTAAACTCCAATCAGTACAGCCCCAATCTACTCAACTTCTCCTCGTAGAAAATCCCTCCATACCTGAGATCAACCTGGTGAACGTTCTCTGGGCTGCCTCCAGTGCCACTCTGCCTCCCACTAACACAAAATAGGCCTGTTCTCTGAAGACTGCAGACCCGTGACTGATTTATTACACCTTGTCATTGCTTGTCAGGACATATCTTCCACATTAGCAGGCCTGATTTGCATAGATGTTAGCAAATGCGGTTTTTGTTTTAAAAATTCTTTCATGGGATGTGGGTGTCACTGGCAAGGCCCAGCATTTATCGCCCATCCCCCGAATTGCCCTTGAACTGTGTGGTTTGCTGGGGTCATTTCAGAGGGCTATTAAGAGTGAACCACATTGCTGTGGGTCTGGAGTCACATGTAGGCCAGACCACGTAAGGGTGGCAGATTTCCTTCCCTGAAGGACATTAATGAGCCAGATGTTTCTTTTGAATATAACATTAAAGCTGTTGTCACTGAGGCTAGCTTTTAATTCCGGATATTCTCGTTAGGTTTAAACTCCAGTAAGTGTGGCAGGATTTGAACTAACATGCCAGGAGGATGATTGTGGGTTTCTGGAATCTAGTAACATTACCACCATTACCATGTCTCCCTATATCAGTATTCATAAATATTAACAGAAATTACTGGAGAAACTCAGCAGGTCTAGCAGCATCTGCGGAGAGAAAACGAGATTTAATGTTTTGAGCCTGACGACCCTTCTTCAGAAAAATCGGATTTTCAATAACCACAGTACTTTGTTTTATCTTATTCATAAGTTGAAACGTGGCTATACTTTAAAAGCTCACCCTGCCTATTCTCCCTGGAATTTTTACCTCATACACCACTATTTTTCAGTTATCTCAACAAGACAGGCTTTAAGGCATTTGGCATCAAGAATACATTCTTCAGGAACTTCCAGATTGAAACCCAGTATCATTGTCACAGCTGCAAAATCAATGAAGAAGGAAAAACATTTCGGTTGCCTCAATGGATAGATGAAGATGCAGCATTGCATAGGTGGTCTGGAAAATGAAGACAACTCCAGGACTAATAGCTGACTTCATTGTTTGTACAGTAGACATGTCCAGGAAAAAAAACAGCCTTGCTTCATGCCCACTGGTACAGAGAGTCATGGAGACCAGGGCACTGCCACCTGGATGACCACATGCTTCAGATTGGCTTGGCTGGCACTAAGTCTTGCCTTCCTTTGGGTGTTGAGTTGGGACCTCCCTTCTGCATATATCAACCTGTAGAAAGTGGACCCTGTCCGATGGTGGAGCCTGCTCTCAGCAGCAACACCTCGCCTATCTCCATTCCTTCACCCTCACCCTCTGCGAATATATTCTCTTCAGACAATTATACTGTTTGTTTTTTCACTGTGAAGTCTCCCATTGAGCCTGCCTCCATTACAATCTCAGGCAATGCATTCCAGACCTAATACTCATGCTCCGGTTCTCAAACCTTCAGAAAGCAGAAATGTTTTCTCCCCTTACTGGTGGGATATAAACCGAGGCCTCACTGGGCCCTGTACCGTGGATGTGGAAGCTTCCCAGCCGTTATTTTGCAAGGAATTGTGAAGTTCTCCTCTGGCCAATATTTCTTCCACCAGTTAGTGAAAAGAAAGCGGTTGGTTTGGACATGATCTCGTTGCTGTTTGTAGGAGTCACTGTGTGCTTTTCAGGGGTGGGGGGGTCAGTGTATGCTCCTTTACAACATTGACTTCACTGCAAAGGTGGTTCATTGGCTGTAAAGCACTTGTGGGATCACAACAGGTGCTGTATAAATGCAAGGACTTTGTTTCACCTTGATTGATAAAGGTTGGCAAGCCTATTCTCTACTTAGATTAAATAAGGTGCTTGCCTTGTTTAGAGTCGCAGTGTCATACAGCATGGAAACAGACTCTTTGGTCCAACCAGTTCACACTAACCATGCTCCCATAATAAACCAGCCTGTGTTTGGCCCATATCTCTCCAAATCTTTCCTATTCATATACTCATCCAAATATCTTTTAAATGTTATAACTGTACCTGCATCCAACACTTGCTCTGGCAGCTCACTGCACACACAAACCACTATCTGTATAAAAAAGTTGTCCCTTGTGTCCTTTTTAAACCTTTCTTTAAAAATATGCCCACTAGGTTTGAACTTCCCCACCCTAGGGAAAAGACTCTCGTCATTCACCTTACCGAAACCCCTCATGATTTTATAAACTTCTATAAGATCACCCCTCAACCTCCTTCACTGCAGTGGAAAAAGTCCGAGCCTTTCCAGTGTATTTTTATATGTCAAACCTTCCATTCCTTTCCATTGTTATTTTTAAAAAAGTCTCTACTGTAGGATAACTCTTTCAAGAATAATCTGTAGCCCTCAGTATGTCAGGGCTTAGAGAACAGAGCAAGCTCCAAGTATTTGACCAAAGCTTTGCAGGTTATTGACGCCAGGTTTATCTTTTATGTAAGCCATTGATTTGAACTGTGCATTATTCCTGTAAATAAAAAACGTAACAGTTCCTGAAAAGTCTGGTCTCTATTAATGCTACGTAGTTTTAAGAACTGTCCCACCCTGGCTATTATTCATGCTTCCTGATATCGGACCAAGCTGTCTGTAAATGAAGAAGTTGTAAGCAGACGCAGGTTTTATTTTGGGGCTATATCGTATTAAGAAACTGGGATCGATTCTGCAAGAGCTTTATACATGAGAAAAGTATGGAACGGGGATGGTATGGTCTGGGATTGAGTGAGTATTCCTTGTTTACTAAGCCGAAATGTGGTATATCAGAAAATGTAATAAAGAGAAAGATGCTTTCTGCAGTTATACACTGTCTCCTCACTCTCCTCTATACTAACATATTTTCTATCTGTTAATTAACCACAAAAAATAATTTCATTTCAATGTTTTCTGTGCAAATTGACTGCTGCATTTCTTGCATTACAACAATGAATACAAGGTTACAAACTGCTCTGGGAAGTGCTCAGGTTGCAAAAGGCACTCTGTAAATGAGAGACTTCATTTGCTGAACTATTTGTCACATGTAACCATCTCTCTGCCTGTTGTTGTGTCAGCTATGGCTAAGTTGATAGCATTCTTGCCGCTGAGCACAAAAGGGTTTGGGTTTGAATTTCACTGCAGCGATCTGAGCACACAGCCTGAGCTGTCACTCCAGAGCAGGACGTTGGGAGCGCAGCACTATCGCAGAGATATTTAACCCAGGCTCTGGTCTGCCTGATGAATGTCAGAGGATTCCATGACACTCTTTTGAAGAAGAGTCAAGGAAACACCCCTCGCATTCTGGCCCAGTTTTAGCTTCACTCAGGATCGTTAAAACAGATTTGCTGGTGGTTAACAAACTGAGGCTGCAGGAACTTCCCACGTTACAAATAATGACTGCACTTCACTGGATGCCAGAACAGAAGAACTAGGAGCAGGAGTTGGCCAGTCGGCCCTATCAGCCTGCTCCACCATTCAATGAGATCATAGCTGATCCCCTTTCCCGTACTGTCGGCACATGCCTTATGGATAAAACAAAAAATCGAACGATCTTAACAGATTTAATAACTAAACATTCGCAGTCCTCCTGCATTCCAAAGATTAGCAACCTCTGAGGTGTCCTGAAGTTGTGAAAGGCGCTGTGTAAATGCATATCATTGTCAGTCAGCTAACAGAAGTCATGGTCCTTTCCAAAATAACTCATTCCTTTGGCAACCCATTGTCATGTTTAAGATATATGTTTGAGATACAGCGCACACCTTCCCTGCTGTTGATGCATTTGCATTTCTTATCTGCTGTCCCTGAGCAGGCATGACTTTTAGTGCAGTTCATATGTTTTTAATCAATCTCTTCACACTTGTTATGACATACCTCAGGCTAGAACCTGATCCTTCTCGTCCAGAGTGTGGAACACTGTCAACAGCATCGCAAGACCTTTCTGCGTCAAGTGTTAGACGAGTTCAAATAACATTTTATGCGGTGAATGTCATGTCTCACAAACTTGACTGAGTATTTTGAGGAAGTGATAAAGACGATTGACGAGGGTCAAGTGGTAGATGGTGTCAATATGCATGTTAGCAAGGCCTTTGACAAGGTCCCTAATGGCAGGTCGATACAAAAGGTGGGATCCACAGTGAGCTGGTAAGATGGATACAGAACTGGCTTTGTCATCGAAGAATGGAGAGTAGCAGTGGGGCAGTGTTTTTCAGGTTGGAGATCTGTGACTACTAGCGTTCAGCAGGGATCAGTGCTGGGACCCCTGGTGTTTGGAATATCTATAAATTATTTGGAGAAGAATGTAGGTGGTCTGAACAGTAAGTTTGTAAATGACACAAATATTGGGAGCTGTCAAAAATGAGGAGGATTGCCAGAGGATACTTCAGGATATAATTGGGCTAGAGACTTGGGCAGAGAAATGGCAGATGGAGTTCAATCCTGACAAATGCAAAATGATGCATTTTTGGAGATCTAATGCAGATGGGAAGAATACAGTAAATGGCAGAACCCTTAGTAACATTAACATACATATGTCTAGGCATACAGATCCACAATTCCCTGAAAGTGCCAATAAAATGAATAAGGTGGTCAAAATGGCATACTTTCCTTCATTGTTTGAGGCATAGAGTATAAAAATTAGCAAGTCATGTTGTCTAACTTTAGATAGACCACATTTGACATACTGCGTACAGTTCTGGTCCCCACAATATGGAAGGATGCAGAGGCTTTGGAGAGAGTATGGACATGGTTTACTGGGATGTTGCATGGTTTGGAGGGTATAAGCTATGAGGAGGGATTGGACAAACTTGATTTCTTTTCACTTGAACGTCGAACGATAAGACAAGACCTGATAGAAGTTTACAAAATTGTGAGCAGCATGGATAGAATGGATAGTTGGAGCCTGTTTCCCAGGGTAGAAGTGTCAATTACTAAGGGATATAGGTTTAAGGTAAAACAGAGTAAGTTTAAAGGAGATGTGAGAGGCAGATTTTTTTACACAGAAGGTGGTAAGTGCCTGGAACGTACTGCCAGAGAAGGTGGTGGAAGCGGATACAATAGCAACATTTAAGAGGCACCTTGACAGATACATGAATAGGCAGGGAATAGAGGGAAACAGACAGTGTAGAGGCAAAACATTTTTAGTTTAGAAAGGCATCATGTTTTGGCACAGTCTTAGTGGGCCAAAGGGCCTGTTCCTGTGTTGTACTGTTCTTTGTTCAAAGTGATCATGGAGTGGGAAGAGGATAACTAGTTTCAAACTGCTTTGAGTATTTTTCTTAGGACTGTTTCAAGAAGGAGTTAGATACAGTTCTTAGGGTAAAAGGCATCAAATTGGAAGGGGGAGAATGGGAATATTGAGTTGGGTGATCAGCCATGACTATAGTGAATGGTGGAGCAGAGCTGAAGGGGTGGAGATTCCTGGTTTCTATGTTTCTACATTAAAAGGACCTTGGTGATTTAAGGCACTGAATGGGACACTTGATCACCCTTCAAGTTAAGCCCAGATCTGAGTTGAATTATGTTCTTTGGGGTGCAGAATCAGCCTGGGAATCTTGTAGCCCACCCCCTCCCAGAGTGACTATCCCCATGATCCTACACGATCAGGCATGTGGGGATTGCAATGCCACCTGATGTTGAATACCCCACCAATGGTGACCCCCTTCTCTGGTGAAGGTTGGTCAGTCGGCAACAGCACCTCTCAGTGCGTTGTCAACCATCACGATTTAGACCTGTTCAAGTATGAGGAGAACAGGAGAGCAACAGTTATTCCACTCTTCTCTCTGGGGGTGGTTATAACAGGTTACATTCCAGAAGAGCATCTCAAATGTGACTCCTGAGACGTAGAAGTCACCTCAGTGAAAATGTGACACCAGGCTGTTCCCAATTAATCCCACCCAAACCAAAACTCATTCGGCATAATCATTGGCTTGTGTTCTCATAGCTCTGCCTTAATTCCTGTTGGAAAATCAATTTACATAACAATCACTGGGGAAAAATACCAATTCCATTTTAAAATGTAGGCTTTTGGGCCTGGATTCGCCCGGGGATGTGTGTGTTCTCTGGGCGGCTGAGAGGGAAATCCATCCAAAGAGATCTAAGTCTCAGACAGGAGTCATTTTGAAGCATATTGCCACCAGGCTGCAAGGCCTTTGCATTCAGAGTACACCTCACTCACCCTCAACAGCCTCTATGGGGGGACTAAAACAAGGTTGCTGGAAAAGCTCAGCAGGTTTGGCAGCATCTGTGAAGAAAAAAAATTAGAGTTAACGTTTCAGGTCTGGTGGCAGCATTTGTGAAGAAAAACATTAGAGTTGACGTTTCAGGTCCGGTGAAGGAACAGACCTGCTGAGCTTTTCCAGCAACCTTGTTTTTGTTCCTGATCTAAAGCACCCGCAGTTCGTTTGATTTCTACATGGGGGTGACTGAGCCTACTTGAAATTCAGCAAAAGTAAACCAAATGAAATGACCCCAGCCTAACTTTAACCAACAATTCCTCCCTCACACCATTGTCACTGGGCCAAGGTTGGGGGGACACTTAAAACTGAACCCAGTTTATAAATTTGCAAACAACCCACATGAAAATGAACAGGCTGCACCTCTACAACTAACCCAGGACGAAACAAACAGTAAAACTGGCAAATGACATGCACTGGTCTTGCATGCTTCAAAATGTCACTTTAGTACGAGCAGTGCGTTCATTCCCAAGTATCAGTGGGTTTTTTTTTGCTGGTTTTCCCCTCTGTGAAGCACCTTGTGGAGTAGAATGTCCAATCTATAAGGTCTTCATACAGAAATCAAAAATTAGAAGCTTATTCGTACTTTACTGAAACAGCAATTCAGTGTCTTAAAATTTACTGTTCAACGCAGTGAAAGTGAGGAAGCAGCAACATTACGGGATGTAGAGAATTCAGATTAGAGAGAAGAGGAAACTGATTTGTTAATGCAGCAAAAGATTTGGAGTCTAGGTACAAGAAACAGGGACAACTGTAACTTTCGAATTGGATGAGCATTTGATTGGGAAAAACTTTCTCAGCAATCGGAAAACAGCAAGGGAATGGGAGCAACTCCTCTTACAGCACCTTCCAAACCTGTGAACTCTACCATCTACAAGGATAAGGGCAGCAGATATATGGGAAACACCACCAGCTGTAAGTACCCCTCAAAACCCTTCCATCCTGACTTTGAAATATATCACTGTTCCTTCTCTGTTGCTGGGTCTAAATTCTGGTACTCCCTCTTAAGAGTACCATGGGTCTATCTGCACCCCACATAGTGTAGCAGATGATGAAGGTGGCTCACTATTACCTTATCCAGGGCAATTATGGATTGGCAATAAATGCCAGCCCTGCCCACAAAGCCCACATCCATGGAATAAATGAAGAGAGAAAAATTGGATAGGCCTGTCAAGAACTGGCACAGATTCTGTGGTCCAAATGGCCTCCTTCTAAATGCTATGATTCTATGTTTTTACAATGTTCAAATGATATTATTAGTGAATGACTTAGGCTGATGGCCATTGCTCCCATTGTTTTGCTACACGTATGTTGTTAGTTGTCTCTATTTGAGACAGTGATCCCAAACCACTTCACACTAGTTTATTTCCATCTGGGTGAGGTCCACAAATCTGCAACCAGAACGTTGGATCAGAAGCCTCTTTTGTCAGCCAGATTGGCTGCTCATATGGTTGCAGGAAAGAGTTTTTTTTCCCCTATTCATTCTGTGGGATGTGGGTGTCGCTGGCTGGCCAGCAT